ACAAACTTAGAAAAATTAACAATAATATTTTTATTTTACATACAAAATATCTTTTTATCATCAACAAATTACAATTAATCACTGTGTTAATGACAAACCTATTTCTGTGGTCTATTAAGTGAAATTAACTACCAGTGTATGCGTTAGCTGTTAAGAAAAATATGAAATTCTTTCACAGTTAGCCAGTCGGCATAGAACTAAGTTTAAAATCCCTATTCCACAAGGTATATTTTAATACGTTCCTTTGACCTAGATGCGAACCTGTAACTGAAGCAAATCTTTTAATATAGAGTAGGCTTCTTCAGAGATGTCGTTAGTAAATAATAATAAGTATTTTCTTTTTATGTGTATTTTTCTATTAAACAGTGTCTAAACACTAAGTTTGGATGAGATAAGTTGCGTACTTACTGATTTCTCAGATTAAATCTTTTGTTCCTAATGGGACCATGTTTCATCTTAAATATGTCCATAAAATGTAATTTTTATCAACATTATTTTGTCAGAATTTTTTTTTTTCAACTTGAACAATGCATATGTGTTTACTTTATATTGTTCATCATAATGCATCATATTGTTCATTGTCCCGCAGTGGACTGATCGTTAAGACACGGTTCCCAGCAGATCACCGAAGTCAAGCATCACTGGCTACGGTCAGTGTGCGGGTGGGTGACCACTTGGATCAGTCTGCGTAGGGACCGAGGGTATGCGGTATTAGTCCTCGTTAAACTGTGCTACCGTAAAGTGCTCGACTTCGCGCGCAGGTCGTCGGGCTACCGAAGCGGGGGTGCCATCCCCTCCGCAGAAGATCAAAATTGTGATGGCATGTCTTCGGATCATCCTCCGGGATGTTTCACAGACCGTCGCCAATAGCCCATTGTGCAGCTTTAGTGCGACGTAAATTAACAATAACAACAACAATATTGTTCATCATAAGAGGCCTTTCCTCTCTCTGCTGAACTCAACTGTCGAAGGGGGGTGGGGTCGAGGATGGAAAATTTTAAAATGCTCTTAATCCTTTTCATTTAATTTTCAGATAAACTGATGACGGATGTTTACTCTGTTTGGCACTATCATATATCGATACATGTAAAATATAAGGCCATTACCCATTCACAATTTGAGATATAAAGTGTGTGGTATTTGAAATTCTCTACTTTTCCTCGCAAAATAATGCCATTTCAATTCTGCAATCAACAATTTTTGAAAGATATTTAGAGAGTAAACAGTTGTTAGTTTTTAGATTTTTGAAAGTGTCTTTATTTTTTGTGAAATTTACATTAATGGAAATTTCAACTGCAATAAAATTATATTTAAAAAATAAAATCTAAATCTGAGAAACGTGTAGTTTTAAATTACTTACACTCAAAACCACAAATCGCAAAATTTTATTGCTTTGAAGTTTTGAGGAAAAATTCATAGAAGTTGTAAAACTTATCAAGCGCTTCTTCTTCTAATCTAATATAGATTCCTTTTTTTTTTTTTTTTTTTTTTTTTTTTTTTTTTTTTTTTTTTTTNTTTTTTTTTTTTCTTCTTTCTTGAAAAGTATTGTGCTGCTGTCTAATAATACTATATCATCAAAAGTTTGTCAAGTACGAGGGAAAAAAACATCTGGAAAACACAAATTAAAAATTTAACTTAGAATCCAAAATGGCGAGTGTAGAGGCTTCTTAAGAAATTGGAATTAGAAATTGCGATAGTCTGTTTTCGAACCTAAATTATTGAGTCGAAGGAAAAAATATTCAGCTCATTTGACCCGTATTTGTATTGTATTGTACTATTTGTATTGTAACCGTATTTGTATTGTACTATTACTTTTTTCTTACGATGACCCTTATCATATGCGGAAATGGGAAAAGGAAAAAAAAAAAAGCTGCAAAAGAGTTTAATTTTTAACCTTAAATTTTATTTTGTCTCAATTTAATGCTGCTTATACTACAGTCACGGCCGGATTATCCTATAGGCACACTAGGCACGTGCCTAGGGCCTACGAAATTCAGGGGCCTACGAAAAACTTGGGAGAAAAAAATTTATTGACCAAAATAATTTAGCTTTAAAAACAACAAGTGTATTTTGCACAAAATTATGAAGATACAAATAAAAATATAATATTTTTCGGTAATAAATTATTTTGCAGAATCTTATGATCTAATATATTACTTTTTTGCGATTTTTGGATTCAACGAAATCTTGTATTATGCTGTCGAATTCCAAACTACGCAAAATGTCGTATTCAATAGACATAAGTGCGAGAGATGCCAAACGATCTTGATTCATTGTTGAACGCAAATAATTTTTTATAAACTTTAATCTGGAGAAAGATCTTTCTCCTTCTGCATTTGATCCAAGAATCGACAAATATATTCTTAATGCAATGTGAACGTTAGGAAAAGTATTCACAAGTTTATCTTTAATTTGAGCCTTCAACATTTCTTGTGCAGATTTATGCTCATACAAATTTGAAAATAGTAAAAATTCATCTACAAAGTTTTCCTCTAAATCGGAAGAGTAAATTTTCACCAAAAATGGTATTATCGATATCAACTGCAATATCGGCAGTATGTCGGTATTGCAGATAAAGTTAGATAAACAAATTCGTAAATTAAAACCCATATTAATAAAAATGTAAAAAAAAAATATGCAAGAAAATTTTAGCGGGGAAAGAGGGGAGGAATGGGGGGTGGGGCAAAAACGGCTATGCCTAGGGCCTACGAAAGGTATAATCCGGCTCTGTGCCTAGGGCCTACGAAAGGTATAATCCGGCCCTGACTACAGTACATTATTTATACCTTCAACTATGCATGAACGTTAAAGTTAAGGATTTTATAGTTTTATTTTTATAGTTTTATTTTTATGATTTGATTGTTTTTAAATTTTCCTGGGACTTTTCGTAATACGTAATTTTAAAATTGAAGATTCACTGTTTTTCTTGATCTAGCATTTAACTTGTTTTTCCGAGCCATAAGCAATATTTATTTAAAAGAAGGATTTAGATTACTTTCTACCACTTAAATTTTGATGAATCAGGCCATCTGTAAAAACATAATAAAAATAATTCATTCGATTATCAAGCTGTGGTATTGGCAATTGGAAACAGTTGTACCTGAATTTCATATGACTATCTATCTGGCTTTTGTTTGTCAATTCTTGACATTTGGCTTTTGTCAGTTTCCTTTTAAACGCCAACTATTTTTTTGTTTTTGACTTATCCACAGGATAGAGCCATGTGTTCTTTAACTTTGTGGTACTGGCAATGAAAGAAATTTTTTTTTTTTTTAATCAAAAGGTAGAAGCTATTTTAGTTTTTCTATTTAAATATCAGAAATATCCACTTTTTCTTCTATTATTTTTTTTAAATAATTTTTAAAATAATTTACATTCCTAACTAATTAAGCGAATCCTGAATTGAAATTTTTCTAATCAGATAAACCTATGTTTTATTATAATTGGAAGTTTCATTTTCAAATTATAGTTAAAGAAAAACTGTACTAAAAACTGTAATCACTATTTTAAAAACAAATGGTATTTTTTATTAAAAAATTTAGCTTTTGAAAAATCGAATTTCGAAGTTCTGGAGATACAAATTTCCCATTAAGTTGCATATTTAAGCAATTGTTAAATTAAATAAATACTAATTAAGTTATAATATAGATGAAATTTTTAAATGATTTTAGTTGAATATAATTACGCAAGATTATTTTAAGACGTAAGACTTTATTTTAAATATCAATTATGCTAATTTTAAGGCTTAAATTAATTTATCTATTTTTTTTTTTATTTCGTAAAAATAGATATTATTTGTAACATATTTAAATATATATTTATCATGCATTGAATCTAAACAAATCGTTATTTTATTATTAACATATGAAAATCTAATTTATGAATAATTTGGGAAAAACGTGCAAAATACACACTGACCGCATTAAAGCTTTAAAATTGTTTAAATAGGAATCATCTTTATTAAAAATGATTCAATACACATCCCGCTATACACAGGAATATTGAAAATTTGTATATTGATATTTGAATAGAAAATCGATTAGTCGTGATTTTAATCGGACTAATTTTTAGAGATTCTTCAAAGGGGACAACGAGAAGAAAAAATAGGCAAAATATATTCATAAAAATCTAAATCCAGAACTGAAACTCGTTTTTACGTAAATGTATGTTAGACTTCTTAAATAATTAATTTTTCGAACCAAGCATTCTTAAATATTTTCTGATATGTAAGAAATACTTAAATGTTAATGATCTAGTCCGATAAATTAATATGGATAGAGCTGCTTGAGACAGTCATAGCTAGCAATTGGCTGTAGTACTGGTAGAAGAAGAAGTAAACTTCATCAATACATTTGTCTGAGAATCTAGTTATTTTTTTTTCCAGTTTTGAGAATCATAATTTTTGGAAAACATTTTGCTTGAGCCAATTACTTATTTTATTTTGTAACCGACGTTGAACAGCTGACACAATTCTGAAGTTATGATTATCAATGTTAAACTCCGAAGCTTTGTAATTTTGAACCCAACCCAGAATACAAAATCACTCCTGGATCAAGCATTGGGACAAACTAGCCTTCATGGGACTAGTTTAGACGGAGAAGAAAACCACGAAAATCATCCACGGTTAGCCCGAGGGCAAGGAGATTCTAACCCTTGATCCGTCTACCACTGAGAATATTTTACGTCTGCACTGGGATCTATTCGAGCCGGGAACAGAATTCGTATCAACCAGCCACCGTTGGGATTCGAACATACCTACCTGGGTGACACTTTATCCCTTGAGCCTAAAAAATGTAATGATAAAACTATTTTAAGTGTCTTGCAGTCAAGGGATATCCGTTGCCCTCTTCTCTGCTCGCCACCGCTTATGTAACATTTTATTACATTAATCGTAAAAGAGCTCAATATTTTAACACACTTTCAATATTTAATAAAATTTCGATTAATGTATTGAATCTTAGCCAAAAAAGTAACATTAATAGTGCCGGATACAATGTAACTTTTGTGTTTCCCTCCTAATTTTAGGGTTGCAATTGAAAGTAATGGGAAACGTCACACTTTTTTATATATATCCTAAAGAAGGCAATTGAGAAAAATCATAAAGCGTTCCTTTCATTTCGAAGGGCGCCAATTACCTCACGGAAGTTGTGCTGTAATCCTACGCATGATAGATTTTGGAATGCAAACAGTTTTTCTTTAAAATTTCATTCACTGGCTTTTCAATTTCTATATCATCCTCCATACACCCGAGTTTTCTTATTTAAGTCCTTTCAAATCGTCCGCGGAAAATCTTGTCCGCATGTCACCTTTGTACCTCTTTCCTGATAATCTCATCTTTCAAATGTTTATTATTTACTTTTTTTCCCGGTCTCATTTTACGTTATGATTAATAGAGACTGCCGTGTGCTACGTGGAATTGGATAGTTATTTTCCTTATTTCAGCAGTGAATTGACTTTTTTTCTTCTTTTTTCTACTTTTCTTTTGTCAACAGACAATATCGTATGATTTTACCGAATTCGAATGAATGAAGTTTGCGCTTTATCTGAAGGATGATTCTTAGGACTAAAAGTTAGTAATTAGGAGTGTGATTTATGCGGAGGGAAATCTTATAAAATAATCATGTATTGTTGTTTTGTTACTAAAGAGTTTTTAGAATCTTTGGTGAGTTACTATTATTGCAGATTTTTTTTAAGCTGCTTTTTTAAATTCAGAAATGCAGAAATATTCCTACTATAAAAGTTACATTTAATATGTTTTGCCCAATAATTATTTGTATTTGTGTGTATTTCTATGTTTGAAGTATAAGATATACAATGTATTTTTAATTAATTTGTGCAAATAATTAATAGTCCTGATTTAGAAGAAGTTAATATATCCTTTTTAAACAAGTTTGAAACTACAAAACGACTGTCCCGCTCCCAATTTTAATTCAAAAGGTTTTATTTCATAAAATAACTGCATCACGAGTAGTAGTATTGCTTTTCTTATGGATTCTTTTTCTTTATATTTGACTTAAATTTCTCAATACAAGTTTTCAAACAAAATGCCCAGCGAGAAAATATTTTTTATAGAATTAAGTTGCTGGCATAAAACTTCATGTAAGCTAGTGTATAAATTATTAATAATAATTAGTGCAAATAATTGTGCAATAATGGCTTAAAGATGAATTTTTAATCTTTTGTTTAATTAGATTTGATAAATACAGTGAATTACCTTATTGTATTGATGACTACTTGAATGATTATGTTTTAACTCCTATTTAAATCATTGGAAATAAATGCATTTTATAGAATTTTTCTAAATTTAGAAAATTCATGAAAAAATTAAGTTTGTTAATTCAAGTTTTCCAATTAATAAACTGCATTTTTAAAATTTATTATTTTGGTTTATAATTATACAGCTTTTCTTGTTTGGTATTTAATTTTATTTTAGTTTTTATACTTGTTGTAATTTTTGAATTAATATGAAAGAGCATATTTGATGCTCTTAATTACATTTGTTAGAATATTTTTTAAATGATTTGATTTCTGAAAGCACTACAATAATTGCTATCCTGGCACTGGTGAATATTGAAATTTAAAAATAATAATAAAAAAATCTATTTTGATTGGTTAAAGTACAAGGATTAAAAATAAATTGCAAACTGATTTTTATTCTTGCATCAATATTTATTGATAAAAAAGCAGTTTTTTGAATCTATATAATAATTAAAGTTTTCAGATTGCTCCTGTGTCTTTTTTATTTATTTAATTTTTTTTCAAAATATTTTAAACATTGATTTTACATAAATATTGAAATGAGCTTGAGTAGTTGTAGTCTATGAAAATGTGCCATTTCATGTTTGGTGTATTTTAATTCATAATTAATTTTATTTATTTATGAACTCTTTTAGACTGTTTAAAATACATATTTTTGAATGATTTAGTAAGTTGTGGTTCATCAAGTTTTAATAGGAAATTCATGCAAAAGTTTGTATTGTTATAAAATTACTATGTTTTGATTAGAGTACATAACAAACTAAGAAAATAAAGACAACCTTAATTTGATATCTATTTCGAACATTTATAAAAAAATTCTGTATACCTTTACACCCTATCAATATTAAGTGAAACCCCTTGTTAAATAGATAATAATGTATAACCGAGAGCTTAGTTTATTGTATGCAACTCTAAATAAAGTAGCATATTTGGAGGATTTATTTATTATTATTGTTAATTTTTATTTTTTAATTCAAAATGGAATTAATTTAACCGGGATATTTTTTCAGAACTGCATCTTCATTGTAATGTGCAGTTTTCTAATGGTATATAATTTCATTTAATCAATATTTTCAGAGAGTGACTCATTATTTTTTCTCATTTTCTTAAAATATATGTATAAAAATTTTTTTAACAACAAATGTAAAGTTTGTAATTTCAAAAATCAAAAAATAGACCCGATATAATTTCAAATATTGTAAAATAATATCAAAATAATTTTATCTCTTTTTTGCAGGTTTGTATTAAAGAAGGCTATCTTATGAAACAAATTGGATCATTCCAGGTAATATTTTAAATTTGTAACTTTTTTTTTTCATGTAAAATTATACATAAAATAAATCAGACTTATGTTTTTGAAAAATAAAATATCATAAAGGAACGTGCTAATTCTTCAAATTTTTGGATATCTTTAGAACATAATTTTGTTTTTCAGTTGAAAATTGTTAAATAACTTAAAATACATTTAAACATAAAATACATCAAATTTAAATCTCAGCTTCTTTATGTTTAATAAAATATAAATTTGTTTTCTCCTTTTTAGCGATGGAAACGGAGATACTTCAAAATAAAACCTCGAAAATTATATTTTGCAAAAGATAGTAAAGTAAGTAAAATAAGCTTTTTAACTTGGTAATAATGTATATTAACTTAACTTAGTATATTAACTTAGCACTTATGTAAATGATCTCTTGATGAAGTTGATTTTCTTATGTTTTCTTTATTTGTATGTAAATAATTGCCATTGGTTTATAATACAGGAATTATTTGCTGCAAAATTGGATAAATGAATTTTATTTTTATTTTTTTGCTAGTAATTGATTATAATTTATAAGGTAATGTAGAATTTCTGCAAAGCAGATTCAGATCAATCAATTGGTGTCCTTGTTGACACAATAACCCAAGGAAAATGCATGTTTATTTTATAAAAACAAAATTTATTGCATGAGTTGCAATATATACTTATCAAGTTTAGAGAAAAGATGTTATACCTTTTTCGGTATTTCCAATCCGATCTTTTTAGCAACAATCATCTTTCTGCATCTTTAAGAACATGTTATAAGGGTACTTATATGTAAAAAAAAAAAAAAAATTATGCATAGATTTTGTTTAAGGTATTTATCTTTTAATCTGTTATTAGTAATAATTGTATATGTTGCGAATAGTTGAAAAATTTGCGTGTTGTAGTCTCAAAAAAAGAGACAGAAGTAAGGAAAATTTATTTTATCAGGTTTTTTTTTCTTCCTAACAGTTAAAAGTTATCCTTATATCCTAATATAGGCAAATGCTGATGATCACCTTGATGAAACATGATAAATGTATATTCGTGTTTATATAATTATTAATTTAAACGAATTTACATTATTTAAATTTTGAAATAATAAATTCCAAATTATCTAGTTTAAAATCAATTGATTTACTTTCCTTTTTGTCATTCAGATTTTTCTTTTTCTTAGATTTTTTCCCTTTCTTGTTTCATAATTTTGAAAGATTTATTTATTAGTTAAGTAGCAAATTGTGTCTGAGGGGAGGTAAAAGATATAGATAACTGGTGCTAATTGACCATAAAATTGCTTATAAGTGATGCAGGATCATCAATATATGATTAATAAACTCTGTTTTATAATTAATGAAATTTTGAAAAAGTGCTTACCTTATTTTCGTAAATAGTATACTTTCCATTGTATAATTATATACAGTGGCTGGAAGTAGCGCACTACATGTAGGGAAACTACTCTAATTGCTACTTGCTTCATAGTTTGTCGTGCAGTGTACTACTTTTTAAAAAAATGTAGTGTAGTAAGCAGTGCAATAAAAAAAGAACAGTAGTTTTTAGCAGCTACTTTTAAAGTTAGTTTAGTAAAAAGTAAACGAGATTCTAACACAACTAATGTTTTGAATTTGATGGGTATAAAACTTCGCAGCTAAGTCAATGGACGCAATGAACATTAATAAGTATTGCATGTTTAAAATTATATATAACTAATATTTAAGATAGCCAATACGAATAATAGATAATTTATTACTTAGGTCACATATTCACATGGGAATATACACTTGTGAAATATTAATGTTATTTTAAAGGAAGAGAACATATTTTTCAGGGTGCGTAGCGTTTGTAAAAAGTGCTTAAAGGTGCTTTTTTGGGTATTTCGTTTTTAAAAGCTTTTAAAGGTGCTTTTTTCAGCTGGCGTTTTTAAAAAGTGATTTTTTTTTCTNTGTGGACAATGATTTTTTACAGATTTATGCTTTTTGTAATTTAGATAAAATTTTTAGCCCAAAATTTTACAATACCAAAATTATTTTTGAGTATATAGGGAAAAATATATAGAAATAAGTCATAAATGATATTTATTTGTAGTGACAATTTTTGAAAATATTTTCTTCCTTTACCATATTTTTGTGTTGATTTTTTAAATATAATTTTTTATTTGCACTAATTATGTCTAAATTTTCACAAGATAGGTACCTCTTAAAAAAACCCAGACAGATCAATGATTTTGCTCTTTCATAAACGACACACCTTTCCAAGAAAACAAATATTATTATCATTTCAAAAAAAGACTTTCTGATATTTTTCACTAGAGTTACATTATTTTTAATTTAACTTTTGTAACTTAGTGATAATAGTGCTTGAAAAGTTTTTAAAAAGTGCTTATTTTTGATTCAAAGATTTGGCTACGCACCCTGTTTTTGATGTACTACTTAATTTCTTAAAATACCAATAAACAACCTTCATTGAATTCTTAACACAAATGCAAGTAATTGATAATTTCCTAACGTTCATTAAAAAATATTCTTTGTTGAGAAAGGCATAAAAAGTTGAAGGTTAAATAAACAAATTTAAAATAATAAGTAGACTTATGTAACATGAATAAATATTTCTTAATAATTCTTCATGTTTGATATAAGCAATTTTTTTATTCAGACCATTTTGAACATAGGTGCAAATCAATTTATCCTGCAAGTGTGTCTCCTTTTAAGTTGTGAAATAGTAACAACATTTCAAAAGTAGTCGCACGGGCTGGCTCTAATGCAATATTCTGGGGCCCTGAACCTGCGCTGGGAATTTCTCCCTCTTCATTTAGGGCAACCATTTTCAAGCTCTACGGCAAGATCGCCCATAAGCAGTGGCACGCTGCTGATGGTCAGAGACAAGCTCAGGAGCTGAATCGAGACTGTCCCAGTGTACGTCAAAAGGAGCTCTTAAAGCTTAATAGAAACAGTATAAGGAAGATCATAGGTCTTCTTACTGGTCACTGTATCCTCAGGAGACACCTAAACATTATGGGAATAGAATCCAATTCTCTTTGTCGGGGATGTCATCTAGAAGAAGAGACATCACGACACATACTCTGTGAATGTGAGGTCTATTCTGCTCAAAGATTTGAGCATTTAGGGCAGCATATCGTCAATGCCTGGGAACTGCAAGATGTTCCTGTAAGGTGCTTGCTGAATTTTATTTCAGCCATAGGGCTTTAATGTTAATCATGATTTTAGGGTTTGGGTACAATAGACCTCTGGTCGATGTGCCCTGCTCGTCAGAGCTGCCCAACCTCTAAGTCTAACATGAATAAATATTTCTTAATAATTCTTCATGTTTGATATAAGCCATTTTTTTATTCAGACCATTTTGAACATAGGTGCAAATCAATTTATCCTGCAAGTGTGTCTCCTTTTAAGTAGTGAAATAGTAACAGCATTTCGGAAGTAGTTTGTAGTCACTCCATTTAAAAAAAGTTTTTTATTTGTTGGTCATGTATTGTACTATCACTGATTCAATGTCATGTATTATAATATCATGTAATGTAATTGGTACATTTATCTACTAGTAAACAAAACCAATACTTTATGTCCATTTTAATAGTATGGGGTGGCAAGTAATTAAATTTTATTTAGGCCTAACATCATCCATAAAACCATAGGTTGGACTTCAGTTGGCATAGAGCTGTACGGTTAACTGTCTTAACGCAGATGCTTTTAGCACCTGTCAAAATTAGATTTCAGATGAAAGAGAAAAATGTTGCCAAAATAACTTAATTCACTAGTGAAATTTAAGAAAAATTTTAGCTCCACGCTTATAGAACTGCAATTCAGCAATGTCAATTTCTTAAAGCAACTTAGGAGAGTATTGAAGAAATGACTATCCATATTATACAAAGGATTAATATGGGTGGTCATTTTTCAGGAAAACATGCTTCTTTACAGCCTCACCTAATAGGTGAACATGGTTAGGTAATACAGACGCACGCTGTGCATGGATACATAAGCAGAGATTCTCTAATTTTGCGGATATTTTTAAGTGCGAAAAGGAAAGAAAAATTATTTGCTGGGGGGAAAATAAAATCAGAAGCAGCAATTAAACAAAACTTAAACTTAAAAGATATTTCATGTTAAAACTGAAGTATTATATCCGTAACAATTTGATGGGGAATCGAAAAATAGTTCAAGTTAACAAGATTCAACTGTTAACTTGAACTACCTTGTAACCCTGGGTTACAAGGAATCTTGGGTTATAAGGAATTGTAGACAATTAAGTCCTACTCTTTTTAATATGTGCTAAATGAATTGTGCCAAATATTTAGACTCTTTTGTCTAATAAAAGACGAAGAAAAAAGAAAAACTTGAGTACAACTTCTGAGCACTAAAATAGAAAAAAATAAGTCTTCTTCATTATACAATATTAAAATTAAAAATTTGTTTGCTTCAGATTACCCTATTTCGGTGAACATGTATAATGATGGCTTCCATACTGTTTTGATGTCTATATTTTAGTTTCATATTGTATATTATTCTGACAAAAAGGCTTATAAATACCTCTTTCTATTTTCAGTCTGCAATATTTGAAGAAGTTGATCTATCTGATTTAAGCATTGCTGAATGTAGTATCAAAAATGTAAATCACAGTTTTAAAGTAAGTTAAATTTGTTATTTTCTTTTATTTTTTTATAAGATTTTATTATTTTAATTAAACAAAAATTAGTAATTTGTTCTTATGAGATCTTTACAAACACATTAATTTGATTAATATCTAATTTGAATAAATTGTATTATGATTTGATGAAATTATTTACTATGTTACGTAAGTAAATTATGCAAAGAACTCAAAGGAGTTGTTTAAGAATTTATTTAATTTAAATACTTGTTGGAAGGATATATTTTTCAAAACAGATGCTTTTATGATGTTTTAAAAAATCGTTTTACATTTTTAAGATACTCTGTTAATATATTGCTTATACTGAAAGGAAAAAAATATTGAATCATATTGCAAATAGTTTAAAACTTTATATTTTATTACGAAAAGGGTAAGTAAAGAGGATTGTGTCATGCTACATTTAAAATATGGATAAAAAAATCCAGTCAAAGTATGTAAAAAAAGGTTTCTGGAATTCTTAAGGTATGAGAGTTTTTAGTCTTTCAGCTTTCCATCTTTTTGAAAAATTTTAAGATTATGTGAGATGGAACAAGATAAAAAATACATAAAATGTCTTTACTATAGCTTTGACAAAGTCATTTTAATCTTTTTTTTCGTTAGATGAGATTATTTCTTTTCAAACTGTGTTTGTGTGTATTTCTTAAATGTTAGTTAGGTGTTCACTTTAGAAAACAAATTTTTCTTCCTTTTGAAAGTAATAAGTAATGACTTTATTTTAAAAATTGAATGAGTTTAAGAAAGAGTTTTGATCAGGCTCTTTTTCTATTTAATTTGAATTACAAATTTATATTAAAGAGGAAACTAATATTTATTATGCAATAATGAAAGAAATTAGCGATTTAATATAAAGTGAGATTATTTCTTTTATTTTTGTTTCCTGAGCAATCATGTACGTGTATTAATTAAAATTTTTAAACCAATTTTCATTGAGAAATTGCTTTTTATTTTTAAAAAATAAAGATTCACCTTCATATTTTTATTTATTGAGTCTTAACTAATGTTCAACTAATCATTAAATCGTGATTGATTCTATATGCCATATTGGGGGAAGGGGGGATGTTGACCTGTCAAATTCTAATCTTATACTTTTCTTTCAAGGTTATTACTCCTTTTCGAAGTTTAATTCTTTGTGCTGAATCTCGTAAAGAAATGGAAGATTGGATCACTGCCTTCAAAAATGTCAGCAATAAAGATTTTTATGAGGTAATTATTTTTTTTTCATTTGTTTTTTAGTGATTTTTGTAAAAGGTTCATTTCAAAAATTAATATAAATATGAAAGTTACCTTACTATGCTCCCTATCATTGTTAATCCTAAATGTTTAATTATATGCACGAGTTTAAATTTTGGTAGATTGTGTATTTTTTAAAAAATTTTATCTATTTATCTGTAATTTAATTTACTCATCTTAGATCTGTGTGTCATTCCCAACCTAAAAAAATGTGTTAAGTGTTACGGCAGTAATTTTGAAAATACCAAATAATGCATTACTTTAGGGTATTTCAAAACCATACAGTTCAAACACTTTTTAATCAATATTTAGTCTTGAGAAGATTTAAGGGATCAGTTAAAAAATCTAAACAAAAAAATAATTTATGAGTACCTTATATATAAATGCTCTTAAAACATTTTGTTTAACTGAGGAGAAATCTTAAAATGAGTGCAATAAGGTTTGTAACATCTATATTTTTTTAGTTTATTTTGTTTTACATTGTAACATAGCATTTTGAGAAAAATTGTTCAAAGACCAATAATTTCCGAATAATACAGTATTAATTGCTAATAACTCTTCAATTTTATAAACATTCTAATTGGCTCTATTTCAAAAGATTCCTAAAATAGTTGACTGCTTCAAACATTTGTGGCTTTTTAAATTGGTCATACTTCTAACTATATGTAAAAACCTAATGATGGTGTTGCAGTTTTTCATTGTCGGTACTTTTTTACTAACCGAAAAATCACATGGTTGGATTCAATTTTCCCATGTTAATTTCCATATTACTTTGGTTGTCATCAGCATACAATTCATAACAGTCATAAAAGATATTGTTTTTCCTATAAAATATTTTTCTATCCTTAATTTAAAGGTATTTACCCGTACTATTTATTTTTCTTATTCTGTTCTGCTATTGTTTTTTTTTTATTTTGCTATTATTGTATTTGGAAACTAATAGTTGTTTCTTTATTATAATGTAATTCTATGATATTTCCTTATTACTCTACAATTTAAGATGAACTTATTTGAATTGGTATCTAAACTTATTAACTGTTTTAAAATTATAATTTTTTTTTTGGTGTAAATTGCATTGATATGCTATTGTACGTTACTGTTAAAGAGTTTCATTAAATGATTTATAACTTAACAATCAGCTTCATGCATAATGTGATCCATGCACAAATTGTAATTAATATATCAGTCTGTTTGGTAAGCAAAATATTGAATTATGGTTCTGAACTTACCAAATTTGTTCTAACAATGAACCTTTAAATTCAAAAGTTTTTTTTTTTTTTTTAAAAAAAGGAATGATTACTAAGCAAAATTATTTATGTTCACTAATAGATCTTAATTAAACCATAAGAGAAATAGAATTATACGAGACCTTTCATACTATTTATTGATCAATTTTTACTCAAAATAAACATTTAATTTATAGAAATGAGATTTGGAGGGGGGGAGGTAGGGCTAAAAGAGTAAACAAACAGAATTATTTATAGTAAATATATCAGGACAGGGTGCATAGTGTTTTTAAAAAGTGCTTATTTTTGTTTTTTAAATGCCCTTACAGGTGCTTTTTTCATTGGGTGTTTTTAAAAAGTGCTTAATTTTCCCTTTGTCAAAAAGAGATTTTTCCTTTACTAAGTTGATTTCACTTTGAATTATGCAAAAAGAAAACAGTTCACATTGTTCTATTCAACGTTTTCACAATTAAATCAAATATTTCTATTTCAGTGTATTGTCAGTCCGTAGCGTATGAAAACGCCATTTCCTTTACATGATTCAAAATTTCATGATTTTTGACAAAAACAATGCCAAAAGATTTTTTTTTTTTTTTTTTTTTTTTTTTTTTTTTTTTGGACAAGATAAAACCGTAAATTGTCAAAAACTTTTTCCAACCCTACCTATTTATGATATTTTTTAAAGTGCTTAAAAATATTTTTTGAGTGCTAGAAAAGTGCTTAAAAGGTGCTTATTTTTTGTTGCATAATTTGGCTATGCACCCTGCAGGATTGCTGTGCAGCAGCAAATAAAAACTAAATTCCCAAGTTTTTTTTTTCCAAGATTTTTTTAATTACAATAACCAGAAATTTTCATGCTCCATGTAATTGAGACATAGAAGGAAGTAAAAGGCAGACTCATTATCTTTTATGGCATAAGGGGGTCAACTTTATTTAATTATTTTGTACTTTTTTTTACTTAATCCTAGATAAGCTGAATTTTTATTCTATTTAGCTGAATGACTGAATTTTTATTTGTAATGTGATATCATGATCTTAACAATATACCTAAAGTTATGTAAGAATTCATTTCTATTTTATGAATTGACTTTCTGTTAATCATGGTTTTTTTCTGATTAGTTATTTAAACAATCTCATCTCATTGTTTATTTATAAGGGCACAGATCATCATGAATTCTTGTCTGGGCAACATAATTGGTGTGTTACTTATTATGCTCGTCCAACATTCTGCAATGTCTGCAGAGAAGCCTGGCCTGGCATTGGAGTGAGATCAAAAGGCTTATCATGTGAAGGTAAAAATGTCTTACTTAATTAACATCCTCAAATTTTTATTTTTGTGGCAAAATATGTGCATGTGTAGTAGAAGATTTTACATGAGACATTTAATAATGAAGCCCAATTTAATTCTCTTGGTAATTATCTAATTGCCATGAGAATAAAGATGAATATTCTACGATGGAATAAAGATTAATATTACAAACTTTTATTTAGGTTTAACCCTTCTATAAAGCTTCCACACATAAACAATCCAATGTTTCATAAAATCAAACATGCTCATTTGTTGACTTTCAAAGCAGCATGTGCTTTATTTTTGAATAATACTTTCACTAGAAATGAAAACAAATATTGTGTGAGGAATAAATGACTATAGTCTTACATTTTCTCCAAAGAATTATTTACATTTTGGTAATCTCTTAAGTTTTAATTTCAGTCTTTTGGCTTTTGTAATTTTTCGTAATTTATATATATACAGTGAAACCTCCTGGAAAGACCACCTCTATGTAGCAACCAACTCTATTTACGACACTTTTGAAAAACCTGAAATTTTTTCATAGACTTCGTGTTGAAGAAAACCTTCAGGAGAGACCATTAAAATCTCTCCCAATGAACAGCAAACATCTGTACCAAATACGGAAAAAGTCAAATAACTTCACTAAAATTCTAAAGTCAATAAATGAGAAAAATGATGAATTTTTCCTTGCAGTTTTTAAATTTCTTAACAATTATTTTTTATATAAATTTCGAACCATCTAATCAACTGCAGATTTAAACTTATCCATGATTTTAAAAATCTAAGACGTTATTTTCTTTTTATTTCAGAGACATAATATATTTCTTCCATTTTAAATTTTTACATTTTGGTGTCTTTGACCTGAAAAGGTCAAGGTAAAAATATAACGCAACCTTACTAAAGGAATTTTTTTTCTAAAAATAGGCCGAATAATATGCAATGAATTTAAATGCTGTAACTGAACAATAATAATTCATTTAACTAATAAATCATTAACTGAAACTGATTCCTTAGGTCAACTCATTTAATTTATTTAGAATTTATCTATGAGGAGGATTAAATATTATCCGTCTATTTTACCCAAAGATTTATGTAGCTGAAAATTTTACATTAATGATATATTATATAATATTTCTTAGATTGAAATAATATTTTTTTATATGTTAGATTGAAACCAAAAATTATTATTTTTTATAATTTTTTTAATATTTTTATGTTTTTTAGATTGAAACAAAATATTTTAAATGAACTTGTATAATATTTTTTAAATATTATGATTTTTTTAATATAAATATTTTTTAAATCAATAATATTTTTTAGATTGAAGAAAATTAATTATCAACTATGTCAACCTTCATCTATCAAAAGGTACCTCATGATAGAATCAAATTAACATGTCTTATATACTAGTGAATTGGTATTTAATATTTATAATGGTAGTTACGCCACATTACTCCTCTTCCAGAATTTTATCTGTGATAAAATTCGATGAACGATTACCACTAGTTGATTCATGCTGTTAATATATTTAGATCAATTTGGCTCATTACATTTTTTCTTCATTTTTTTTGTTTATAGCATTTCGCTCATTTTTTTCTTCATTTTTTGTTTATAGCATTTCGCTCACTTTTACCCCTATATTATTTATTACCCTATATATTTTATCTACTTCACCAGATCTTTTTTTCTTTTTTTTCCTTCGAGCAGTTTATATTAAGCAAATTAACTGTTTAATGTGGACAATCCATATCAATATTAGCATGTTCATATCACGTCCGGGTCGCCATTGAAGTGTTGTTTTATCACCTTAATACAAGAGAGACTTATTCAGAAGATTAGCAAATATTTATTCACCATAGCTGTTCTTTTTCAACCAGACTGTTGCCACCCAACATATAAAAAGTAATTTATAATCATCTTGCTTAATCGATTAAGAATAATACTACAGAGTTTAATTATCGACTATTTCAACATTCATCTATCAAAAGGTACCTCTTTATAGAATCAAGTTAAATATTTTATATACTAGTGAACTGGTATTTAATATTTATAGTGGTAGTTACCCCACTAGATTGAAACAAAACTTGTTTAAATATTGTGAAAAATCAGTAATCACAAACTATTTTTTTATCTGTGATGTAATCATTTTTAGCAATTCTTTTTCTTAAGCAGTCTGCTTTTATGTTATTATTTTAGCCCTAAAAATTTAATTAATTTAGTTAATTAAATTAATAATTTAATTTTATATATTATAGATTGGTATAAAAATGAAATTCATTTCAATTTTGATACTAATTTTTATTTTAGAATTGAACATAATTTTATATTTTCCTTAAAATGTTTTATTAATATTAACTAATTAATGTTAATGCAGTTTAAGCATAATCTGAATAATAATAAAATTTGACAAATACCTTCCTGTTTTTTTTTATATATAAATTCTATTAGTAAATAAAAAAATAAAAAAGATGTATCCTATTACTTCTACATATTCAATAATAATTAATTTCGTGAAAGCAACACCAATTAAAACTAAAATATTTGATTTCTATTAGCTTCTTGATTCGATTATTGTTGTTAAAAATACTGGGTGTTTAAAAAGAGAAAGGTTGTAACAAATGTTTCCTGTCATTGTGAATATCATCTACACAAACAGTTCATCTTGGTGTTCTTGCTCATATTTTGTAAAACGATTTTTGGCAAACGAGACTTTCTTTAAAACACATTGTTGTGAAGTCTGTTTTAAAAAAATACCTTTATCAATAGTTTACAAGGTTTCTGAAATGGAACTATCATGCTATCAGATTGGAACCATCATTTACTTCCAGTTCTGCTGCAAAAAGTCAGCTACAGAATGTCACCTAATCATTTGTACAGCTTTAAATACTACTGTTGTATCATTTGCACTAAAGGTTTGGTACCAAAAGTTCTAAAGCGAGGACTATGACTTACAAGAAGTAGAATGCTCTGGCTGGGCTGCAAGAACCTGTTGAAGAAAATCAGTATTCTACCACTCGAGAGCTAGCTAAGGAGTTGAATGTTAATATCATATCCACTAGTCACACTATGCATCATATAAATTTAATGTACAAGATCTAAAGCTGATTCAGATAAAATTTGTTAAGCTGTTCAATTCAAGAACAACGTTCTGGATGGGATTGTCTATTGTGATGGATTTACTTCCACAATACAAAACGAAAAAGGGGTTGGTCTGCACCTGATGAGTCGATTGGTAGCATTGTGAAGCACAATTTGACTAACAAAAAGATCATGCTTTGTATCTGCTGGGATTGCTTTGATATTATCCTCAAAGAGTATCTTGATAAATGTTCAGCCATTGACAGTAAGGTTATAGCAAAATGCTAATCCATCTTGATGCTGCTATTAATGCAAAACTTCAAACTGAATTTCTGTTACAGGAAGGTACTGTTTCATCAAGATAACACTAGACCACATGTGTCTGCATACTGTTTGGCCTCTGTAAGAACTCAAATGGAATATTTTACCATGCCCACCATCATTCCATCATTTGGACTTCTACCCTTTTTTTACCATTCTGAAACAAAGTTGATCATTTTTTTTTCTGTACTCGCAGCCACCAAGTTTCTGTACCAAAGATGGTGATTACTACCCACACTAAAGATACTGTTTTCATGTTGTTGTTTTTTCTAACTTTATTAAGAACTTTTTTTGGTAGGAACTTTTTGTTAGAACCTGATAGAAAAATTTTCCATTTTTTGTGCTCTAATTAACTAAAAATTGTAACTAGTTTTAATTCTTATTTTGCTGTATTTTTATATTTACACATAGTTTGCAAATTTAAGGCACATAAGTTATGTGCTACAAAAGCACCAAACAACTGTAAATGGACCACTTTATCTTCAGTTGGTAAAGATATCATTGAAGATGAAGATATTGTAAGTATAATCATATCAAATATGATCTGAAATGTGAATTTTTTTTCCAAATATTTGTTGTTTTTATAATTTATGTATCACTTTTATTTTCCTTCAGAATCTTTCTATGCCTCATCAGTGGTTAGAAGGAAATTTACCTGTAAGTGCAAAATGTAGTTTATGTGATAAAACTTGTGGCAGTGTTTTAAGGTTGCAAGACTGGAAGTGCCTGTGGTGCAGAGCTATGGTAATTTATTATGTATTTTCTGTTTAAATCAACACAAAGAAAATTCTTAGATGAAATTATAATTGTTAATTCGAAAAAGTGACTTATAAAAATATTAAAATACTTGATCATAAAAAGGTTTTTTAAAACATTTGAAAAGTGCTTATTTTTTTATTGTTTCTAAGCTTTTCTTAATGGTTTTTAAACTTTTGTTGTGGCTGACATTAAAGCTTTGCATTATATTTGCTCATTTTCGCCTTTAAGGCTTTTAATTTCTATGTTTGAAGCATTGTGGAAAAAAAATTAACCAATTTTTTGTAGGAACTTAAACTAATCTATAAACTGCAATATAATTTAAAATCAGCCATATAATTCAATTGATAAATCACTTGAATAAAATGTTGTAATAACTGAATTTTATTAGATGATAAACTATTTAAATTTATTTGAAAACATAAAAAATGTTAAATGCCAGTTCGTGACATTTTGGTCCCATTCCAATTCAGTCTCATTGCTAATTCAATTCGTCTTTTTTTAGTATAGACATTCCCTCCTTTTTCTTCCTTTTTTTAACCTTTTTTTTTATTATAATGGTTACGTTTCAATAGACCTAAATATATTTTTAGGTTTTTAAATTATTTATTTATTATTTTCAGAATGAATTTTATATCATGAATTTTAAATGGTTATTATCACTATTATTTAAAACTTATTGAGTGTAGAATTAAAGTTCCAAGTTTTTACAAAGATTTATGAAAGATTGCTCACTCTTTTTTTTTTTTTTTTTAATTAGTGAACCACTTTTTCAAGTTTCAATGAAAACTTTCCTTTTTTTTGTATTCCACTATTTATTTAATTATGTTAATTGTTATGTAATAATGTATTATGATTGTGAAGTTTGATAAATAAATAAGGATTTCTGAGTTAACTATCTTCGCGTGGTGAAATTTAGAAACTCTTTTCAAATAATTCCTACCTTAGAAAAAGAAAATGTTTATAAAGAAGCTAAATATTAGCAACCAAAAATTTATGACATAGAAATAAGGATAATTGCAATTACTTTTGAATATTTGGTGAAATTTTTTACATTTCAATGTCTTAAGGGGAAAAACAGAAATGGTAAACTACGGTATAGAATCGTCTTGCATCAGTTAAAAGTTAATTTTAACCATATGCACTTTACTTTTACTAAGATGCAAATTTTATGTATTTAAAAAATATTTTGACCTAGAATATGCATTAGAAAAAATTACTTGCATGAGAAAAATTATGTTCTCATGCAACATTTTTGTCATGTCTACATTTTTGTTCTTAAATTTATCCTGATTGTTTTCATCAAAAATTCACTGTCTGATTACTCAATGTTTTTTGCTGCAAAACATTTAATATTTTCTTTTCACTTAATTAGGTGCATGCATCTTGTAAAGCCCAATATCCTGTTAAATGTCCACTTGGAGTATGCCGTGCATCAATAGTTCCACCCACATCTCTTCATAGTATTGGTAATGATGAATCATGGGAAGCAACTTGTCCTCTCGGTTGTAGTCCTCTTTTAGTTTTTGTAAATTCAAAATCTGGAGATAATCAAGGTGTGATGTTCCTTAGACGATTTAAGCAACTGCTCAATCCTGCACAAGTGTTTGATCTCATGAATGGTGGTCCAAGCTTAGGGTAAGACTGTATTTATTTAGAAACTAAATCTAGTTTAAAGCAATTTCTGACATAGATTTAATCTCATCATATATAAACTAACTGCTGACAAATCATAAAATCCTTTTAATTCAAGCATGTAAGTTGTAAAAATATTCTACATTTACCTTTTTTTTTCCCCTTCAATTTTTAAAAAAATCATTAAACGTTTGCAACTGAAACACTACATTTTCAATACAGATGTGTAAACGAGCATATCTTTATTCCTATTTTCAATCATTGCACTTCAATACAAACATTGCTTATTGCACTTGGAGATATTTTTAAATAGTTATTTTTTATTTTTAACAAAACATATTAGTAAATGAGGGTATAAACTCAAATATGCTATGATTCATAAGATTATTATTGCTTTGATATTTGATAAATTCTAAGTGAATATTTCTTCTAATTATTTATTATAGTTTAAAAAAGGCTATAGCAGTCTTATTTGGAAAAAAAATATCTGTGTTGACATACTTGATATTGTTTTATTGTCTAATATTGTGTTTTGCTTGAGTACCATGTTTGATGTTTTATTTCTGTAGTAATATTAAATTATATTAATATTAACTAACTATTAATATAATATATAACTAACAGTAATATTAAATAATTAGCAATAACCAATTCAAGAATCCCAATATGACACTGTAAAAAGGTATAAAATGAACCAACGATTGTTGAAAATGGATAAAGTTTTCTGTTGTAAAAAATTATTTATTATGTTGGATTAAAAAAAAAAATTGATGGTTAAGTTTTTATTTAATTTTTTATCTGTGTAAAGTTTTATATAGTTGAAAAAATATTATTGCATAGTTAATGTAGCTTCAAAGATTTATCTTTTAATTTTAAAAATAATAAAGATTTTTTAATTGTATTTAATAGTTTTATTGACTTGTTTTAAAAATTCGTCAAGTGAGAATTATAAGTCTAAAACGTTTCTTTAAGGATAGTTCCGACATCTATTTTTTATATATTTGCTTGAGATTCTCTCCTATTAAAAACTATTTGAAATGATAAAAAAAAAAGATATATATGTTACCGAAAAACCCAAGACTGATTTTAAGTAGCTCTTGATTATTGCTTTAAGAAATTTTTTCTTTAAATCCAAACTTAGTGATTTTATGAAGAAAAAAAAATGAAGATCTTGTAAGTTATTATTTTTATTAGGGTTTAAATTATAATTTTTTCTGTAAAGGAGATGTTTAAAAATTTTTAATGGTTACTCAATGTTTTTTTCCATTCAAAACTTCAAAGAGAATTAGTGACAGCTAGTGTATGTTTTATTTCTAAAATTTCAGTGCCTTTAAAAAATTTTTGAATGCAGGTAATTTCGATAGTAATTGAGCAAGAAAATCTTTTCAGCCCATCCAAATAAACAACCTTTTTTTTTACGCAAAACTGTTTTTATCAAAAAATTATTAATTTTTAAAAATTGTTTTGTTGACTGAAAAATATTAGTAATCATTTGTTTCTGCTTCACAGTGCTAGAAAATGCTTCTTTTTTCTAAAAATAATTAATTACAAGATAGTTGCATGTTGTAAATATTTTTAACATTAAAAGTATGTATGGTGGTAATTTTCATCAAGAAAAATTGCAATGAATATATAATTTTAGAAAAGTTTATTTAAGTCTTAACTATCAAAATCGAAGTATGTCTTTTCTCCCTAATTTTTTTTTTTTTTTTTTTTAATTTTCTTTATATATACATATATGATACCAATTTCTAATACTTTTTAATGCTTTTCCAGGCTTCTGATGTTCCGCACATTTAATCCATTCCGTATTCTAGTATGTGGTGGAGATGGTAGTGTTAGTTGGGTTCTGGCTGAAATAGATAAACTTAACTTACATAGACAGGTAATTAAAACTATTTCTTTCTTCCCATCATCAATGACACAGTTTGTGCAAACACAAGTTAGAACATTTAGCTAATAGATGTTAAATCAGTTTTTATGGAGCTTCATCGGTACCTAATTATTACATTTGTTTTGCAACTTTTTATGATTTTTAATTTAAAATCTTTAATTAGGTTTTCTGAAAATTTCTGCAATTTATCATAAAAGTGTTTTTGCCTTTAAGTTTTATTTCAGAAACAGATTGTGATTTTACAAAATCAAATCTTATTATGTATGTCAGTTTGCTGATTTTAACAAATTTTGGTCACTGTGAACTTGATTTTTTTTATTAGTACTAATTTATGAAATAATTTTTTATTTCAAATTCACTACTCAGTATACTATAAATTTCGTTTCGTGTTTTGTTCTGTTTTTTCTTCACATTTTATTTTATGCTAGATATTTTACACTTAATGTATTCTATTTTGTTTAAATTTTTTGTAGTGCTCCTTATACTATTGTATTAATATATTTTGCTTTGGCGTATTGATGCAATATTAGAAAGCACTCTTTTTTGTGGATATAATTGTGTGAGCTGATGAGGAGATTATATCTTTTCATTTTTTTGTTTTCCTGCTTTTTAATATATATTTTTTAAAAGAAATTTTAAACATTTTATTTGAATAATTTTTCTTCTCTTTTCATTAATCTTTTAATACTTCCACACTTTCTTTATATTTTTAACTTATTTTATGAGTTCTATATACTTGCAGCTTATACAATTATTATATTATATAGTATAATAATTATATTATATATTATAATAAATATATTATATATCATATATAATAATATATATATTTCTAGAAATTACACCTAATGTAATCCTTAAAAAATTTGAAAATTTGCTCTAAAACTTAGGAAGGATATGGAATTGTCTACTCAAAAATAACTCAAAATAATAAGAGCACTGACTCTAAAATAATGCTGCTATTTGTCTGCTTCTGTTGATTCAGTTTGTATACATAATGTGATAGTATTTGATTTTTTTTCTTCATTATCTTTGTTATCTATGTATTTTAATGCAGTGCCAAGTTGGAGTATTGCCTTTAGGAACTGGTAATGATCTAGCCAGGATTTTAGGCTGGGGCTCTTCTTGTAATGATGATGCTCAACTTCCTCAAATGTTAGAAAATTATGAGAAAGCTACTGTTAAAGCCTTAGATAGGTAATTTTATTTTACAAAACTTTCAAAATCTTTTAATTTTTATCCATGTTTTTAAAAAAATATGACATGAGTCTAGAAATGCATTCAAAGTTAAAATGTATGTAAACCATTTATTTTTTTGGTTCTTATTTGGGTATCTATTAGATCAAATTGCAAAATATAGGACCTTTTATGATAGATTATGTTAATTATAAATTTTTAAGACTGAAAAAAATATTTAAAAAAATCTCTTCATAAAGAATCTCTTTTTTTTTCCTTAAAATATAACTTTATTTGTATATTTTAAATTAACTTAAAGTTTAAAAATTCAAAATCAGTTACCAAGCATGATTTACTTTAAAATTTGCATTTATATTTCATTTTTTGTTGCTCTCTAATTCATTATTATACTTTCATTTTTTAAATTATATTGAAGTTCTATTTAATTTTTGACAGTATCCTTTTTATGGTCTGGTTTGTTTTGTTCTTAGAGTGAATTTTATTTGACTGAATTGAATTCTAGTAATATATTTCCAAATTTAAAAGTTATTTTGTAATCCCATTCAGCATTCAAACAAATAATTAATTTTTAGTGAAGAGGATATTTTATTGTTTCACTGTGGTTTTTTATAAGGATGAAAATAATATTTAATTAAAATGAATATATAATATTAAGCTTTTTGCTAAAAACATGTCCATAAAAGTACCATTACCTTATTTCTTGAAATTGATGATTCTCATAAAATGCGACAAGGTATTTATAAGTACCGATTTCCTAGTGATTTTAAGATTATGATACATTTATTAGGATTTGTGAGTTATAAATCGCCCATCTAATTTATTACTTGTATCGATTTTGTCATAAATCTAAATTATTTTTTAAAGGCAGTTATTGCAACATTTTACATTGTAATTTTGAAAATCCAGTTTTTTTTATTACAACACAAGAGTTTCAAATCGCAAATTTAACGAAGCCCTTTTTGACGTGTTTTGTTTTTACCCATTTCATCATAAATCCTGACGTTTAGATCATTTTTTGTCATTTATAACTACTACTAATTTTCACATGGTTTAAAAACTTAAAATAAATTTTTTCGCGTTAGGGAATAATGGAAATTTTAATAATTATAATTGGTTTATTGAATAGGTTGAATGTAAAGTCTTTCTCATGATTCTATGAAAGGGAGTAATCAAAAATATCAATTAATGCATAATTTAAAGCCAGAAATAGATTAAAAGACAGGGTGTGAATAGAGCGTGAGAAAGAACGTTTAGTTTAGAATAATAAATTGAGGAAAAAATTTAAATAAAGGAAAAACATAAAAAGATTAGTTGAAGCTTTTTATGTTTTATATATATATATACATATATATAAAGTTAAAAATATAGCGAAAACATTGAAAATAATAAAGATTTATGAAAAGAGAAGAGAAAGAATAATTAAAATTGAATAAATTTTTAAAGATATATTTTTTAATTTTAATAATTTTTCTTTTTCTCTTTTTTTTTAATCTTTATTATTTTCCATGTTTTTTCTATATTTTTAATGTATATTATCAGTCCTATATACTTCCTGCTTATGCGCAGTAAATGAAACTTACTAATTTTCTTCGTTTTTCTCTTTTCTTTTTATCTTTTTTGTGCTATATATCTATGTTCGTCTGTATCTTCTTTTTTTTTTGTGATGAATTAATTATTGTGAAAAATTTAAAGAGTTTTTTAAAGAAAAGGTTCAGTTTTTTGTTTTTAAATAAATTCAAATGATTAAAACTATTTAATTTTCTGCGAATGTGTTATTAAGTTTACTGATAAAAAAAAATTAGTGCATAGAACACTGTTTATATAAAAATGATCATATTTACCACTAACATGACTAAATATACATGGGGCCCTTTTTTAATATACCTGCTGTACAAGTGGTCCTTCTCAAAAAGGTTGTGCACCCTTTGTGGAGTTATGAAATTGAGAGCTGTATTTCTCTACAACTTAGAAATAATTACCATTCTTAATTTTGTGATTTTATTTGTTATGAACGAAATTAATCATGTGAAAGTTGTAACATATTAGCAAGAAAAAAGAGTATCTCTCTTCATATTTACAGCAATGCACTGTTTCAGCTCAAAACATTCTATTATGCTTTGTATATTCAAGTTTTCTTCATACAGATGATGCAAGAAGTTTCACATTTATCACAATTACTTTGCCCTTATAAGCTAATATGTATTAGTAAAATATTGAATTGGGTTTGAAAAAAATTCTAAAATGTAGTTAGAATGTGCTCTAAATCAGTGTAATATTTTAGCTATTTTTTTTCTGCTGTTAATTAAGCAAAAAAGAGAAGTTTAGAACCATTTTATCATACTTTAGCAAGTGTCTTGAATTGGTTACTAATTTTCTGAAAACAAAGTTGTTAAGGTGTTTAAAATTTAAATTTGGCCAAAAAGAAAATTGCTATTTAACTGTTAACCTCGAACTGTGTTGAGGTTTTTAGTTGTTTTTCTGCATACAAAAAAAAAAAAAAAAAAAAAAAAAAAAAAAAAAAACAATTTTTGCCTGTTATTTAAAGGTGAAAAATTTGCTCAGCCAGATTATATTTCGTAAGTTGGCAGTTAAAGGGTTAAAATAATTTCAAATAGTTCATTTGAAAAATATTTTTTTGATATTTTATTAAATATCAGAATTGTTCTATTCATTTACTAGGTGGTGCATTTTAACTTATGAAAAATCAATGCTTGTTCCTAGAAAAAGTCTCTCCCAGGTAAATATTTAAAAATTAGTTATTTAATTATGATAAATGAGTCTGGTGAAGCTTTTTTATTGTCCCATTTTAATAAATAAATTATTTTATCCAGTAATGTTTGTAATTATAAATGAATAATCAAATGAAAACAAGTGAGTCATAAATTATTGCTTTTACCTTGCTATCTTAAACTTAGTGTACAAGGCCACTATTATAGCATGGGTAGAAGGGGCAATTGCCCAGTGCCCGTGCTTTAATTAGGGGCTATATGCTATAAACGATGCTATGATCTAAACTTTAGGGTCCGCCAAAAAAGATTTTAATTTAAGGTTTTTACAATTTCAATTTTTCACTTTTTTCAAGATTATAACTTGAAACATTAAATTTTTACAGTATTCTTATTTTAATTCAAAAGTTTAACTTTTATGCTGTGAAAAAGTAACTACCATGCTTTATTCAATCAAAAATGTAAGGCTTTATTTACCTGATGTTCAAAGTAGAGTCCATAATATGCTTATCACATGTATAAACACAATTTACCAATCAGATTCTCAGTCTTTGGGGGCAAATTTAATATCTGATAGGTACAACATTTTTCCACGTGATGCATATTGTGCAATTTTTATTATGCCTATTGGTATAATTTTTATTAAAATTAATTTTATTGTTAGGGAAAATGTTAGGGCCTCATAATTAGTATTCTGTCCTAGGTTTCAGCTTTTCTGAATAGGGTCCTGGCTTATAATAGTGTAGTGTGAGTTATTTGAAACATTTAAAATTGCTAAGGAGAAAATCATCTAAATCGTTATATGATTAAAGTATATTTTCAGAGAAAAAAATAGTTCTTGTTTTGTTTTTATTGCTCAAAATCATTATGAACCTTTAAAGTTTTATAAATATATTATCTTAAGTTTATAGAATTTATCTGTTTGAATTTTAATTGTATGTTTTATAATTTATTAATATAACCTTAAAATATGACTTTTGTGTTTTCAATAAACATTGAATTTTAAATTTCATGCTATAAATTTTTACTTGCTTACTTATCCTCTTCGTGCCAAACTGGCATATAAAGCCTCTAGTCTTTTTTCCCCACTCACTCCTGTCTTTGGCCAGGCAACGCACTTCTTGTCATCCAGTTAATCCTGCTTCCTTAATGTATCATTGCCATCTTAGTCTCGGTCTCCCTCTTAGTCTCTTTCTGTCAGGTGCTTATGAGCTTGCAACCTACATTTGCAGAATTGTTTTTATCTGTTCTTAGTATCTAGTTAAGCCATCTCCATCTTCGTTTTAGAATTTCTTCATTAACACATGGGATATTAGCTTTTGTTAAAATGTCTTAATTTGTTATACTATTGGGCTAGAAGATTTTAAGTATTATTTTAAGCATCTATTGTGAAAAGTTTCAAGTTTTTCTTTTTCTGATTTCGAAGGATTCCAGCATTCGGCACCATGCAGAAGAGTGGAACGCACGATAGCCTTATAGACATTTATTTTTCATTTGAGGCTTTCCAAAACTTTTACAGACCTTTAAAACAGGATCTAGCTTTTCTGATTTTTTGGGAAAGATCATCATTACTTCCCTGTTTATTTATGATAGCTCTGAGATAAACAAGAGTCAATCTCTTCGATCTTTTTGTAGTTGATTTCTATGTTTCTGTTGGATTTCACATTTATTCTCATTATTTTTGTTTTACTGTAATTAATTTGAAGGTCATTTTCGGCAGCATATTTGTAAAAAGTTTGAGTTTCCATATTAAATCGTTAAAATGAGATGTCATGAGGACAATATTCGTTGGCAAAAATGAGGTCTTCTAAGTGGTGTCATATTTCCATGGTATTCCTCTTTTCTGATCGTGAATTGTGTTCATCATCTGATCAGTGACAATTACAAAAGGGAATCCCGACAAGACACAGCCTTGTCTTACTCCTGTTTGAACATTTAATAATCGAGTCAGTATGCCATCAACTTCTACATTGGTTTTACTGTTGTCATAAATACTCTTTATTATGTTAAAAAAAATTTTCAGGGATGCTATAAATTTTTAGTTTATTTTTAATTATTTGAAATTAAATATTTGAAAAAAAATATAGCTAAACATTAATTTTTTCTATTCAGTTAGTGCATAGTTGTGTCAGATTTAAAGTTTTATATGTTTCAACTATTTTCAAAACTAAGTTTTGGACGTGGTAATACATTCATATATTTAAGGCAGTTTTTCAAAAACTCCAACTTTGCCTTAAACTTTAGTAATAATTTTATTAGAAATGGAGTGACAGATGAACATTTGACATTACTTCTCAAAATTAGAACATAGCAGTTTGAACTTAAGGAGCAGTTATGTTTATCTCCACCTTTTTAAAGTCTAAGGATATATTATATTTCTATCCTTGAAAAAGGTTATTCTATCACTTTACTGACTTTTGAAGATCAAAATCTTTTAATAAAAAGATATATTTGTTTATTCAGAAAAAAAAACTTTTTTATGTGTAATTTATTAACTTGAATCACTTAGAAAATTAAAGGTTCACTTATCGAACATCAAGATTACAGTTTCAAATAAAAATTTGGTCAAAGGTTTTTGAGTGTGTAGGAATTTTTACCTTTATTATGCTATACAACATAATATGATAATATAATAAACCTTTAAGAAACTAGAAAAATTTTAAATGTTCGTTAGACAATATTATAATTTATTTGTTTAATTTCTTTATTTTTAGAAAAACCTAGATTTCTCTCCCGACTCCTCTTGCCAAACTGATGAATCTGTAGATACACTCATAGCAAACATATTCACATCTGATCAACCTTATGTTGTTATTTCATCCATTAAGTATGTCAAAACCTTAATTTATCTTAAATTTTCATTTAAAATTTTATGTTTTATGAACATCAAATTAATTATAATACTTCTTTGCTGTTTTTTATAAAATGTGTTAAATGCGAAACATGTATGGTATATAAATTGGTATCTTGATATTGAATTTTTGCACATAAAATTTTCAGGGTTATTCACTTTGATTCACAATCACCCCTGAGAGAGCTTTTGTTACTTAATTAAAATTTATGATTTTTCATTTGCTTCATAATTATTCGGTCTACAATTTTTTGCTACTTTTCTCATCTCATATTGTCAGTTTAAAATTAATTATATTTTTTTGAAACTGATAAGAAAATAAGAGAATAATATAGTTTTGTTTACTCTTTACCAACTATCAAAGATAATTTAATCATAATTGAATAATCTAGATATTCTAAATATTATTGAATAACTATTAATGTTTTATTTTCAATGTTTTTCTATTAAATATGTCCTTCTATTTATATAGTTTTTAAATTTATTCATGGAAATATAACTAAATTTGTTTCGTTTTATACTCTTGAAATGACTCCAAAACTCTTGATGTTTTTAATGATTGCTCCTGAAAACTTTTCTATGATGTTACCAGGTCTGTAACAAAAGAGTGTGATGTAACTAAGCTATTGTAAGAAAATAAACTTGAACAAACTTAGGGCTTAGTAATTACTTTTCTATTACTTCATTGTTTCTGTTTTTGTGAGTAGTAAGCTATACATGTCTGATGCCTTTTTATCGTAATAAGTATCCACAAAATTTAAACATTTGATTATATCTGTCTTGGTTATCTGTTACTTATGCAGACTTATAACTAAACCCAGTAAAATTTATGACTCCAGTCAAAATTTGGTTGCAATCTCAAAAGTTAATTTTTTTTTAAATATTTTTTTTAAGAATTATTTTTATAGAGTATTTACTATTTTGGTATTATTGATATTTTATGAACTATACCATTTAACTATCTAATAACTTAATTATTGATGCCATATGCATTATATTAGTTAACTACCATGATAGTAGTAATATCCGAATAGCAATATATAGCTTCTTTGTTTTAAGAAAGAATAGCTATCTATAAAAAGTAAATAAAGTTTTATCATGCCTGAATGAAATAAAAGCTATCTGCACAAAAAGGTGCCCCTCAACACAAAAGGTAAAGTATGAGAATTTAAACTTCACAAATGTATTAAAAATGGTGAAAAAAGGCAAACAAAGGGTTCTAACTTTGACTGAGAGTTTTTAAAAAATTTTATAACAGAAAAACAGTTTTAAAGAAATTTAATGCAGTTTTTGCTGTTAATTCATATGACAAAGCATGATTTTTTTTCTCCCAAAGTTTTTAGTTTTTGTTCAAAGACTTACCAATAAATATCGTTGCAAGTCCCTTCCATTACTATTTCCATTACCATTTGATATACAGTGATACCTCGAGATACGAGTTTAATTCGTTCCGTAACCTTGCTCGTATGTCAATTTGCTCGTAATTCAAAGCAATTTTCCCCATTGAAATTAATTGAAATGCCATTAATCCGTTCCATCCCCAAAAATGCTACCCCCAATTGTTTTTGTTACGTGTTTTTGAATAAGAAAAATGTATTTATAAATGACAAATATTGTATAAAAACATAATAAAAGAAAATGTAAAGCAAAAAAAAAAAAAACTGGTTTTATAAAGTGTGCATACATATTTGTATTTTGATCACTTAAATGCAAGTTGCACACATCTTAAATGCTACTGTATGCTTAATTTTAGTCACTGCTTTTCTCTTCACCGGTCTTTGCTTTTTTAGCTGGATTAAAAAAAAACTGTCCAAGGAGGTTTGTTTCTTCCTCCTTCTCAGAATGCTGCAGAAATGAGTTAGGCGAGTGTCATGAAATAGTTCCGATGCACGACCAGATGCAACTTTTTCGGGATGTTTCCTTGCACGAACTGTGAAATTCTTGCCCACATTCCCAAGAACACTTTTATCTCACTTGTAGAGATAACCTCCTCCACCTCTGGCTCTTCCTCGAAACCAATTTCTTGCAGAACCCCCGAATGCTGCTGCGACGGTAACTCTTGTAATTCCTCTGTCGTCAGTTCCTGAGAGTACTCCTCGATGAGCTCGTTCACGTCTCTCTCACCCATCACCAGGTCCATGGATTTTCCCAGAGACCCAATATCCTCCTCCACTGGCACTTTGGGTTCGAATCCTTCGAAGCTATAGACTCAGGTCACAGCACAATTTTCGGCTACAGACTCACTCTGGCCACAGCTTCTTCCATGCAGAGGTCAAGGTCCTCGTTGCAACGCTCAGCCAGGCCTGATCAATAATTCTGAGGCATATCACGATGTTAAAGTTGTCCTCCCAGTACTCTCGAAGGGTGAGGTTTCTGTTTTCTGTCACCTCAAAGCAGCGCCGGAACAGGTGCTTAGTGTACAGCTTTTTAAAATTAGAAATCACCTGCTGATCCATGGGCTGCAGGATAGGAGTGGTGGTAGATAGAGAACCTTTATAAACTTGAACTCTTCGAGGATGTCATGTTCGAGGTTCGGTGGGTGAGCAGGAGCATTGTCGAGGGTGAGAAGGACTTGCCTGGCCGTTCCTCGTATCTCAAATGTCACTCGTATCTCAAAACAAAACTTCGCTCGCTCGACAGCTCGTATCTCAAATAACTCGTATGTTAGGGCACTCGTATCTCGAGGTACCATTGTATTAAAATTTATTTTTTTTATTCCAAGATGACTGTGAGCTGATAATGGACAGTTCAAAAATATTAATCATAAAAGATTTGTGTAGTCCAAGCAGTAGAGGATTTTAGAAAGATTGGCATAGTTATCTGTTTTTTGTTATATAAGTACACAAATCTGCATTTTATAACCAAACCTATTCTAGGAAATAAGTTTTTTTTCTGTGAAAACAATTAAAGGATATTGTTTTCTGTGTATAATTTTTTTTTTTTTTTGATGGCATATCTTTAAATTGGAGAAAATTTCCTCTAAAATCTGTACCTACAAGTTACAGATTTTAGAGGAACAGACTTTTTAAGCTAGGTTTTCTGACAGTTACAAATAATACATACAGAGGTTCCTGCATGTATATTTTTTGTTACAGGTTTGCTACTTGCAGTGAGATCAGTTGATAAATTTTTAAACTAAAAGCAAATATTTGAGGAAAAAACATATAAATTTCTTCATGAGTTGTAATTTTCAACCTTAACTCTTTCGCACCTACTGTCACATATACGTGCCAGCAAGAAACGCCCTCACTTCCCGGCCGACACACCGGTGTGCCAGAGCGATTTCTCATTCACCCCCGGGCGTCACTTATTTGTGCCATTGTCCTGGAACGTTTTAAAAAATACATTTTTTGCCAGAAGATTGCATTGTATCTCCATATCGTTTCAGATACATGTAGAGTTGATCTTCTACTCAAAATGAAAGTAGTATGACTCACAGGCACGTGGTTTTTAGGAGGAAGGAATGGAAGAGAAAGAAATGTTTTATGACGGCTCTTTAAATTCGCACGTGGTATTTATTTACAATTAGCAGGGGAGGTTGTTTTTTTTTTTTTTTTGCTACAGCATTGGGTATTTCGATTTGCGGTCCAGTTTTTAGTGCAATGTTAATGTTTTCAAGTTTTTCATGCGAAAAAAGAATTTTAAGTCATATATTTAGCTTTCATATGTATAATTTTAAAAGTTATTAAATGGTAAGTACATAATGAAAATAAAATATATATTTAAACAAGAAATAACTTAAGTAAATAAAGTATCTATAGAAATATATATGAAGCATATGCCATTTAAGTACTGTACAGAACATTGTTAAACATTGCGGTGATATTTCGGTAATTTCATGGATTTAGACTTGACAGCAAAAAACCCTCCGGCCCTGGAGAAACACCCGCGAGAGAGACTGCCGGCCTCAACGATGAGCGCGCGTTTGCACTTCCCGTCGCGATAGGGTTAACTGTTTCTCTGTTATATCTCTTTAAAGTCCCCCAGTTAAATTTGGATTTCTTGTTAACAACACTACAAGGAAAAACTTTAAAACTAATTTTTCTCAAAATTTACTAAAGTTATTGATTTGAGCTGCCAACAAGCTCTTGAAAAGTTGCTGCTTTCTTTTTTAAATGTAAAAAAAAAAAATTTTTTTTTTGCAGAGTGTTATTAAAAGATGGAAACAAGCTCATGAGCAGACTGAAATCCAAGCTTAGTGAATCTTCAAATGAAGTAGTGGATGAAGAATCATGCTATCATAAAGTTAGTTTCAAAAGCTGATGAAAAGGTTGATTTGAGCATGTCATTATTATACTTTTTTGGCATTTTATTTTGAACTGGTAAATATTGTTGTTTCACATTTTTGTGGCTTAAAAGTTTCTGTTTTCTTACAGTGTGAAGTGTTCAGAGAGAAATTGGAAAAAATGCTTGCTGCACTGACTGCTGATGAACTTGCTTCTAAAGAACTCCTTGAGAAAGAAAAGGGAGGTCTGATGTCTGACACAGAATATCTTTCTACTCAAGCAGATGCTCCTTTCTACCAATCAAAAAAGGCATAGTTTTTCCTTATTTTTTCTCTGAAAAAAAATTCTATTGGTAATAAATTACAGTTTAGGAACTGTTATATCTATCATTATCTCTTTCAAACAGGGCATGAAATTACAGTTATAAAATTACTGGCCTGACAAAAAATCTTTGCTCCTAAAAATTTTACATTAATAAAGAAAAATGATAAACAAATTTTTATATGTTAATGTATTTAGTGTAAATAATTCTATGATAGGGGAAATCATAAAAAATGTAGAAATTTAAAAAAATAATAAACCGTGCGGTATAATAATTAAGCCATAACCTATACATCATTCAAAATAACCGAAATTTAAGGTTAATATTAAATAAAACAAAACTTCAAAATGTTTAAACTTAAAAATTAACAAGAATGTGAAATACAAATAAACCTTTTTGTCTATTTTTTGATACTGTTACTCTTTTTTATTAAAATTTCTTGGATATATTTAATAAAATCATAAATTGAACAGCTCATATTACATGAAAAGAACTATAGGCTATACATCTTTTATAAACATTATAATCAACCTCAACTAATAAAGCCATTTTAAGATATTTAATTAGATTAAGAAGGATTAAACATACCTGATGGGAAGAGGGTCTCAACAAAATTGCTAGATTATGTTGATATTCTCCCTTTTTTATCTCTATACACCTACTTTATCTCTCCTGATTTTCATCTCTCCATTCTTCCTTCTCTTTATTTTCTTTCTTAAACCTGTTGCAATCTCCACTCCGCAGCAGGCATACATGTCCAGTCCTGACAGTCTTGCAAGCTAAAAGCTTACTAGTCAACAAAACATACTCTATTATCTTGAGAGTCAAACTAAAAAACAAAATTATGTGGTATATCACAATATGTAAGGCAAAAAACATCACTGAAACATGTATAAACATTACTAAAAAGTTCCTACAGGCAAATTTTGCTAACAGTAAAATTAGTTGATCATCTTTAAATCTTTTGACTAGAAATCACTGCCGCATTTCGTTTAGCAGAGCTGGGGAAATAGAAATATGGTTGCCAGATCTAATCTCACTTGTGTATGTATGCATTTAAAATCAACAGTTGTGACTTCATCATTGTATGCTATTTTTCTTGTAAACCTCTTATAAAAAAAGATTACATTACTTTGACTTTCCTTTGTAGCAATAAGGAAACTGAAAACATACATTAATTACCTATTCATTAACTCCTACTTTTAAACTAAAAAAAATGCTAACCAGAACAAATGCAAAAAAAATTTTGATTGTACGCATCATTTTTACCATGTTTCTAACAGCTGTGGTATGTTTTTAAAAGACAAAACTTTACTCGCCGAACTTAAATATTTGGTCTCCAAAGATAAACGTAAATTTTGCACCTTGTTTCATAAGTAGAATACCATGGTGGCATATAGTTGCTGAATAAGATGGGCTTTAGAAGTAAATTTCTTGATTAGAGAGTTGTGGTACTCAATGTTTATTGAAAGAGAGGGAATTGAGCTTTTGATGGCTGTAACAATTTACGTAAAATTTTATTGGAAATTCTTAAATGTATATGTATGTAGTTTATTACAAAATTGCACAGAATTCTAAAAACATAACTAATGGTATAGAAATGTGTTTTTATATTTAATAACAATTCCTATCAATTTAAATCTTTACAAAGGTGGGTGTAATTTGGTAAGGAGAAAAATTTAAATATAAATGAATTTTTTATATTTGAATTTTGAAATATATATATATATATATAGAGAGAGAGAGAGAGAGAGAGACCAAATGGTTCCAAGCATTAAATATTTAAAACGGAAATTGAGTTTTTCTTTTTGGTCGATATTCGATGATATTGGTGTTCTACTTTTATCTACATTAAAATCTTTAAAATTTAATGCTTTTTTTTAATTTAAACTAATAATATAATACTATATTTGTGCAACTTAATGCTGCTCTTTTTATCCATAGCTTTGTTTTTAGTTTTTGTTCCAAGTCAATGAATTGTCATAATATAAAATATATGGACACAATTATCATTCTACTATGGTCCTTTCCCAGAGATAAAAAAAGTCAATGTGCAAGCTGCATCATAATGATGAATAATTCAATACCTTACTTATTTACATACATTTATATAAACAGCATTTTTAGATAACACTTGAAACATTGCTTGACCTGCTGTTTAACTTCAAATTTTATTCAAAGTTTGAATAATAATAATTTCTTATATATTTTCTTTCAGACGCCATTTGTTGAGAGAGAATCTGTGATGTCAAGAACTAATAGTTTAAAAAAAGCTTTTTGGCAAATTTTTGATTGCATTGAAACAGGTAAAAATCTTTCTTTTTTCTTTCTTTTTATTAAAAAGTATATATTTCTTATACACTGTTAGAAATATCAAATTATGGTATACTTTATTTTAATTACTTAGAATTTACTAATTTATAGTATTAGATTTTGTTCAGTCAAATTTATGTTCTCGTGCAATAAAAATACTGTTCGAAATTATGAAATAAAAAAATTGATTTATTTCCTCGTAAATTTGACTTTTAAATAAGAAAATACATTGTGGTTTATTTTAATGAACTTTATATTTTTTCATCCGGAGACTTAGAAAATATTATTATGCCCTGCCAAAATACATATCTATGATTTCATGCTCTAATTAGTATTGAAAAGTGACTAATGTAATTATTTATTGCTCCATTCTCGACATGTATCGTAAGTCAAATAATCTTATGCAGCTTTTATAAGTAGGCATTTTTTATTCAAACTAAAGATTAAAAAAAATTTGTCACTCACAAGTTTTATTTATTTTTTTACTTGAGCAAATACAAATGTTGATGGAGATATATATGTGTGTAATGCTACCTATAAAAGTTATTAAATGTCAACTTTTTAAAATTATCTTTTATCCTGTTACTATTATGTTCCACATTTGTTGTCTATATTATTGTTGAAAGTGTTAAAATTGCAACTAATTATCCATTTTTTACCTTAAGCTGTTGATGAACAGAATGCTCAAACCAGGGAAAGAGATGCAAGCATTGTTCGAACTCCCACCTCAGAATCGATGAATCCACCGACAGATATAACGTTATCAAGCCCAGAACATTTTAGCAATCCTGAAACCACGCCTCTAGGTGTGAGTGAGGAGGAAAAACTCTCGCGTCCAGATTCTTTTCGAACACCTTGGGGTTCATCAATGGGCCAAAGTATTGGAGCTCCTTTAAAAGACACTTTGCAAGTGACTTTACCCACTATTCAAGGTGGTGCTAGTGCAGATAGTTCTCCTTGTCCATCTCCTGACCCCAACGCATCTCCTGCCATTTCACCTTGTTCATCTCCCATCTCAGAGCAAGTTAGGTTAGGTCTAGATCTGCCCCTCAGTGAAACAGACATATCTCATCCTTGTTATGGAAGTAGCAGCATTTCAAACTCTAGTTGCTTAACTGGGACCAAAAATAGTGAGTTGGGTGATTTTAGTGAATATATGTATTGTACTTTCATTTTGTTATATCAATGACTAGTGCTCAACCTTCTCATGCTTATTAAACTTTAAATACTTTACCAAATGAATGTAAATTCAAATCTTTATGGCCCTATATATATATAGGGGTCTGTCCAGGTCGAATTTACTACCGTTTAGCGGTACCTTCACAAATTCAATTTAAGAAAAAACGGTAGTTTCACAAATTCAACTTTAAGAAAAACGGTAGTTTCACAAAATACTTTTTCTTGAAATTTTATTTTTGTATCCTTAAGAAACGATAAATCTATATTTTTCCTATGTTTTTGTGATGATTTTTTAATAAGATTTTTAATTTTTCACAAATTAATGTCTAAATTTTCACAAAATAGGTACCTCTCAGAAAAACCTAGACAGTCCCTGATATATATATATGTATAGTGTGGCGTTCATTGAAAAAGATACAAGAACATGGAGAAATAATAGAATTTTATTAAAGTAAGGAAAGGAGGCCTAAAAATAAGAACATTACATGCTGGTGGATCGATAGATTGACCTTGGAAAGAGGGTTTTTATATCTTTCTGGACAATATATTTAAATATTAATAGGTCTTAGTAATGTCGGATTGATCACATAATTTCCCAAACTACTAAAGATACACCATCACAATTTCTAAGATAATTAGATCAATATTATTACTTTCTTTGTGGGAAAGGTTTTAAATGATTGTGCGATGGATATAAGTTCTATTTATGAATTTTATTCAATATATAATTCTTTTAACATTACTTCTATATATTTAAAAATGTAATAAATGCCTGGTGGATGAGTGGTAACGCTTCATGCCACAGGTTCTGGGTTTTATGCTCAGTAGGCCATGGCCCTCAATGGGCTGTTGCACCCCTGAATTAAGTTTAGTATTTAAGTATAATCATAAGCAATATAAAATTTTTACTGGTCTAAGGGACCAGCAATCAAGAGATCGTACTTGTTTATACACACTCTCATAGGGCCTTTCCCATATCCCCTTTTATGCATTAAAAATTCCTATGTAGCTTTGTATAAATCAAATTATTTTTTATGTTTTGATGCACTGGTTAAATTTTATTTATTTGCCATAATTTGAAACATAATATTTAATGTAAGAAAAATAAATTTAAAGTGAAATAAGATTTTAAAAAATATAATAAATGATCTCATTCATTACTGTAGTAAAATATGCTATTTTGTGACTAACTAGTTCAGAAGACCTTATAATACTACTTCATTGTTGTTCAAGTCAGTTTTAGTGGCCATGGACCAACAAATCACTGTTAATTTCAAGCCGTTGCATATGTTGCTAGCTGACTTCAGTGAATAGTTGGTTTGCCCTCATGTTTATGGTTTTTCATTTTTTTGCATTAATCTTGTTTCTGAGAGCCTTGCTTTAAATGCTTTATATCTTCTCATCAATCTGAAACCTTTTTTTTTATAAAATGCAACTAACCATTAAAAAGTGCAGCTAAAAAACTACTCACATGTGAGACAAATCTTTTATTTTTTTTGTTCTATTAGTTCTGCTGCATTTTCACTTTTCACATTTTAAAGTAATATATTTTTGCGGAATTAATTTTTACTGCTAATCAATACAGCTCAATCAATATTATGGATAGTTAAATAATTATCCTTATTAGATTGCTTTTCAAAGTTTTGAATAAGTGCTGAGCATCTTGCTGTTCAAAAAGTGGCACATTCTTAGCAGAGAACTAATCTTTATTATTTTCATTTGCCTGTACACCGCAACTCCAGAAAAGACATTCTAACCATATGTGCATTATGCTCTAGGGTTACAATATTTTTTTAATACCGACTTGACAATAATTTTATTCGCCACAATATAAAAATTGTGTAGTATAACTATGAAAAATCACAAGTATAATGGTAATAATATACATCTTTAGCTGCACGCAATTCATTGACAGACATTGCAGCATATACAATAGCTTGACCTATGAAAATAAATTCCAAGTTCTATAAGTATGTAGCTAAAGATTGTGGGATAGGTCATAGCCGATTTCTTTTTTTCCAATGTTAAAAATTTTTAGGAAAAAAAAACTGCAAATTTTGAAACTGAGATAGAATAATTGAAAGCTGCTAAAGTGTAATTACTTTTCTCATAGTGCACCTTTTTATTGAAATTTTTTGGAAAATATGTTTTTTAGTTCTAAGTTTGAATTAAAACTATTACTTTTTTTTGTTTGAGCTATCTTTCTGAGAGAATTATTTCTACTTTTAGATGAAAATGCTCAATCACCAACTGCTACTCGCCGTATAAGTAGTGGGGCTGTACTTAAAATTCTTGGTACATCTGGTTTAGATAATCCTTCCATCTCCTGCCAAACATTCAAAACCTTATCAGAAGCTGACACAAGAGAATTTCCTATTATAAATCCTCTAACAACTGTGCCATCTTGGTCAGAAGCAAATAAAGACATTTCAATTGAAAAAGCTCTTCTTCCTTGCACTGATGCTTTATGTGCTGCTGCTTCACCCTTAATGGATGTTGAAGAAATTCCATTGTAAGCAGTTTGTTGTATGTTTTTCGCACAAGCAATATTTAAATTATTCTATGCCCCCAAATTATAAGTTGTATAATATTTATGTAACTTCATTGTGAAAGGTACCTACATAAGAGATGCTAACTATATAGTATAGGTGATAATTTAAGTAGCAAAATAATATTTTTTATGAGTAAATAAGACATTTTTTTTTCCCTACTGGATTTGCATTTTTATCACCAAAGTATAGGAAGTAGCTGTGGTCTGTAAGATATGTTCTATTAATATAGTGAGAAGGCCAGACAATAGTTTAAGCCTCTCAGAGATTGGTGTTTTTGTCTTTAGGGCAAGAATCACAGCATCTCTCCCCTCCCCATTTTTAAAATTAGTTTAGAACCATGGTGAATCAGGTAATAGAGTGTTTGTCACCCAATGAGGTAACCCAGGTTCGAATCCCAGTGGTGGCTATGAATTCTGTGCCCGGTTCACACCGACCAGCTGATGTAAAATATTCTCTGTGATTGACGAATCATGGGGTTTAATTCCCTTGCCGTGGGGTTAACAAAAGTTTTTCACGTTTTTCCTCTCCATATTATGTTAGTTCCATCGAAAAGTATCCCACGAAGGCTAATTTGTCTAATGTTCAATCCAGAAGCTATTTTGTCTGTTGGACTAGGTTCGAAATTACAAGGCTACGGAAGTTGACCATTGATAGGAGTAAACTCAGAATTTGATAGACTGTTCAGCGCTTAAAAAGACAGTGTTCATTTTTCTGGTTATTTCATTCATCTGCAAAGCTCAGTCATGAATTTTATTCGAAGGAACTTTAAATGTGCTCAAATCTGAACAAAATTAAATATAATTCTATACATTTCTTCTTTCAAAATGAAAAATTTTTAATATTATCTACAAGTTATAGTTTTCTTTTTAATTTCTTTATTGGACTTAGTATAAGCATCTGTTTTTTCTCCTTTTAGGCAAGACTGAAGTATGATTGTATTATATACAAAATAAATTTAATTGTGCTAAATATATGCTAGGTTACTCTTAATTTTTACAGTATTAATCTCTGCATGACTTCTTTAAAATTCGAGACAAATTTGAATTTTTGATACTACTGCAGAGTGACGCTGTAAATTCTGTTACCAGAATCTGGCGCCAACTAATTAATGTGTCTCAGATCTGCTCTTCAAAAAAAGTATAGTAAAACGTCAGTTCACGACCATCTTTAAACAATGGGGACTTTTGAAGAACAGCCACATGTTACTGTTACCAAACTTTTTGCATTAATTTTAAATTACGGAGAACCTCTGAACAGTGATTTCTGAACAACAGCAGTTTCTTGCTAGCATGAATTTTGTATCAGGGTGTATCTTAGTTAATTTTTTTTCCCATCTTTCTTCTTTTGTCTACAATAAATTTAACCTGGGTGCGTAGCATTTTTAAAAAGTGCTTAAAGGTACTTATTTTCGTTTATTAATAGCCCTTAAAGGTGCTTTTTTCATTGTGTGTCTTTAAAAAGTGCTTAATTTTCCATATTCCAAAATGAAATTTTTCCTTTTTCAAAAGCAATAGTGAAGTTTTTTTTTTTTTTTTGTCATGACGGTTAAAAACAGATTAAACCTTCAATTGTCAAAAACTTTCCAACCCAGCCTAGTTATGTTTTTTTAAAGTGCTTAAAATTTTTATTTGTGTGCTTGAAAAGTGCTTATTTTTTGTTGAATAATTTGGCTACACACCCTGTTAACTAATCCTTACTGATCTGTGTTGACTCAGGGGATAAAGCACTTGCCTCCTAATGAGGCAGCCCTGTTCAAATCTAAGGGGAGGCTGGTCGATTTGAATTCTGCACCTGGCCTTGCACCTACTACAGTGCTGATGTAAAATATCTTCAGTGGTAGACGAATCATGAGTTAGAGTCCCCTTGCTGTCAGGCTAACCGTAACAGGTTTCTGTAGTTTTCCTCTCTGTGTAACGCAAATGCGGGTATGTTCCATCACAAAAAGCCCTCCACAAAGACTAGTTTCGCTCAATGTTTTGATCCAGGAGTTTCATTGACTTCTAGGTTGGGTTCAAAATTACAAGATGAAGTTATGGTAGTCATGAACTCAGAATTTGCTCGCCTTATCCATGCCAGTTATGAAATAAAATAAGAACTAATCCTTAATGAACATATTGGTCTTACAATTTAAGTCATTTTTAAAAGTTTTTAATCATTCATACAATAGTCGATCATGCATTTGGCTGTTCAAGTGCATCTACTTCAGATACTTTGCATCTGTAGTAGATGCATCTACTACAGATACTTACAAGGGTGATCAACGAGAATCACAGGAATCTTGTTCTCTTGACATTATTAAACATTCATTCAGAAGTCAATCACAGTCTCAACAGTTTGATACCGCCTACTACGGATGCACTGCTGCTTTCATTGGTGGTCTGTGATAATTATTGGCATTCTGTTCTAACATATACACAATATGAGCAGTAATTCTTGATGTGTTATTGGTCAGCTTTCAATTTAAACTGCTCATAGAAATTTTCGACACTTTTGGCAAAGAAGCGTTATGTGCATGCACCTGACCATTATTTGTGTTGCAGTTCAATACGTAATATGCTTTTATCTGGGTTACAAATATTGATAAAATTAAAGAATTGAATTATTCTAATAAAAACTCTGGAATTCTTTAAAGGCTGTAATATGAAAGTGGTTTTTTTTACTTTCAAACTTTTCCTGTAAAATATGAATCATAGTAAAATTTTATCTGTATTAAAAACTAATTGTGCACCAAAAACTCGATCACTTTTAGTCAATGTTAAGTATTTATTTAATGACAAATGATTTAGTTTGTGTTTGTTTAAAAAATTGTGTTTCTAAGTTTAAATTTTGTTTTAAATACCTCATTACTTTAACTTGTGCTTTTTTTTTATTTTATGTGTAATGCTATTTATATGTTTATATTTTCAGGGAAGGTTTTGATGAAAGGTGTGTTATGAACAATTATTTTGGTATAGGTTTAGATGCTAAAATAACCTTAGAATTTCATAACAAAAGAGAAGAACATCCAGAAAAATGCAGGTATTTTCTTTTATTTATTTATTCATTTATTTGTTCTAAGTAAATTAAAAAGCATTTAAAACAAATTCTGTGATAACTGCAATTGTTGGCTGTTAACCGAACCATGTGAAATTCGTAAAGTAATTGTATTGAAAATATTTTTTTTTTAAAAAAACATTTTTTTATAAGCAGCTTGCTGATTAGGAGCTATATTATTTATAGTTTTAAATTGCAAATGTGTGTAATTATTCATCACTAGTTAGCAACCTTTGTAAAAGTATAATTTTTCAATATGAATAAGCTTGGCCTTTTAATATTTTCGAAAATTAAAATTAATGTATATTTTTTTATGCATCATAAATAGATATTTGTTTTAAAATATAACGGCTGTCAATACCTATTATTTAATACTGGACATAGATTTTTATGAATTTTTAAACTTTTCTTATGTTTTTTTTTCTTTTATATATATTTTGATGATTAAAAATATCTTAATACTGTTTAGCATGAAATTTAAATTGCAGGTCAAGAACACGTAACTTGATGTGGTACGGTGTGCTCGGAGGAAAAGAACTATTACATCAAACCTACAAGAACTTGGAACAAAGAGTTCAACTTGAATGTGATGGTAAACAAATACCATTACCTCCTTTACAAGGCATTGTTGTCTTAAATATCAACAGGTTTGTGTTATATTTTTAAACTAAAGAAATTGTGTTGCATACTATGCAATATTTTTTTATGTATTAGTATCATTGAATAACTGATACAAATGTAAAATAAAATAATTAAATCGCCTCTGAACTGGGCTGAGCTACAAATTATGAAATCAATAATAGTTTCTGTGATATGTTGAGAACTGTAAAAATATAAAAAAAGAGTATAGTTTTCGATATTTTGGTTGTTATGGTAGCTTAGAAACATAATGTAATTTTGGTTTTAAAAAAAATTAGTTTGGTAAATTTTAAATGATAAAAAAAGAAATATTTTTAATATTTCAAATAAATATTCAAAATGTTAATTTTTTCATCAACTGTAAATATTATTTAGTGTCTTGCTATGCTGATTTTTAAGTTTATTAAAAATGTAATTATATGTATTGACTAAATCTATTGAATAAATTATGGTAGATGTTCATGACAGAGGGGGCTTTTTGAGCTTTCTTTTCTCATTCTATAATTGATGAAAAATTAAAAAAAGACAAATGTCAAATTACCTTACATTTGATGAGCTGCATGCAACTTGTTTTTAAAAAGCATCTTATCCATTTAGGTTAAGCTCAAAAATGCACACAAAACTCAACCTCTTAGAAGCTTTACTATTGGTGCAAAATTAAATGAAAATTAATATTTTTTTAACAAAAAAAAATGAAATAAGAATTTTTATTTTTTTTATTAATACAATACCTTTGGATTATAATATGCTATAATACTTTTTTTTTTTTCAGATTAAATCGTAATTTATCCCCACAACTAAATACAAATAATCAGCTATCTAAAATATGTGATAGGAAAAAAAATGCGTCATTAAGATTATTTTATAGTTCATTGGCACATTCAATATTTGACATTAATGGAATAAATGCTTTTTATTTATATTTAATATTTTTCATTTTTATGTTACATACTTCTATTCTATGTTTATAGTTATGGAGGTGGATCCAATTTCTGGGGTGGCACTAAAGAAGATGATGTAAGTGTTCTGCATTCAACAAATTTAATTTATTAATTACATGCTTAAAAGTTGTCTATCACTGGACTGTGAATATTATTTTGCATAAAAATTCTGTAATTTATTTTTATATATTTTTTATTTATTTATTTAATTTTTTTTGTATTCATGTAATGCATTCTGTTGACGTCTAATTGACTTAAGCTGAAATTTTACCTTTTAAGTCTTAAAAAATATATATTAGATTTATATTAGTAGCTCCTTTCTTCAGTATTTCTATTGTCGTTGTCATATAAAATAAAAGAAAAAAACATTTCTTACTTTAAGATGAAATACTTTTAACAGTTATAAGCTAAATATAAGTTTTTATAAATAATATAATAAAGTAATTAATTAGTAATAAAGTACAAAATAAATAATGATAATTTAATATGATTAAAATTTAATTTTCATTGACAAATAGATTGGCAAAATAAAAAGAAAAATTTCTGTGCGCAAAATAATTTGTATTTTGCTTAAAAACTATAGAATAAATTCCTCTGTATAATGATGTTATATATGTAATTTTCTTTACTAAATATCTTTATTACTAGTTAAGTTACATACAGTAGTTTAATATTTTTTAAGTATGTGAGAAGTAAATTATTGCTATATTCGTTTTCTTGATTGAAATGTTTTTCTGTCAATTATTGTCGTATAATACTAATTCTTTGTAACAAGTATGAATGGATGTTTCACAAGGCAAATTTTTGCAGCTTTTTTGTGCCCCAGCTTTTGATGATAGGATTTTAGAAGTTGTTGCTGTTTATGGTACTGTACAAATGGCCGCATCTAGAGTTATAAATTTGCAACACCATAGAATAGCTCAAGTATGTTGCATATTATATGTACTTAATTATTTAAGATACAGATCTCTTTATTTAAATTTGTCGTTTAGTATTTAAGAGCTAATTGCTTATAAATATTTCTTCATTTCAATAAAGTGTTATATTGTAAGCTTATTTTGTATGCAATATTTATATTTTTTCCAACAGTGTCGGTCTGTAAAAATCGTTATTAAAGGTGAAGAAGGTGTCCCTGTTCAAGTAGATGGAGAAGCTTGGATTCAATCTCCTGGTTACATACGCATTGTACATAAAAACCAAACTCAAGTTCTTTGTCGGAATAGGGTAAGTGAATGATCTTAAAGTTTTATGTGTTTTTTGTTTTTCTTTTTATAAGGATTCTTATAAATATACACTAAAGATATTTCCTTTTAATAGAAAACATTTTGTAAAGTCATTAACGAGAATTATTCTACCTGCTGATCCTAGCTTATTATAAATTGTTAATAATAATATTTATAAATCAACAAAATTAATTTACTTACAATACATAAGAATTTAAAAGTATGTTTAAAAATAATCTATCCAGTTTTTTTATGCTTAATAAATGAACTATGTAAAATTACATTTCTCCATTTTGACTTCATTAAGTAGATATCATGTATTTTTTATTTTTTTAATTATTGTTCTATGTTAATTATTGAATATTAGTTCCTATGAATGTTTTTAACTAGTTATCATTAGTTGTAAACTCGCAAAATTATCAGAATAGTGTTAATTAAATTAAGTAATTCTAATATTTATTTCTTATGGAAATAATATTAATTCTAATAATTATTTCTAATAAAATCATAAAGTGTTTAGTTTTCTTACATGTCTTTAAAATAAAAAGAAAAGCTACTTTTTCTTTAAGTGTTAATAAATGCATCCTTATGCTGAACGATCTAAATGTTTCAAATTGATGTTTGAAATTGCTTCTAAAAAATTTCTGATGCAAATAAATTTTTTATAATTAGGGTTCTTTTTAAGGCATCAGTTGTTTAATTTTTTTGTTCTTTGAAATAATATTTTCTTCTAATATTTTCCATTCTGAATTCATTAGATGGATGACATAGACTTACTTATTTTCTTTTATTATTAATTTTTAATTTATTTCAATAACTAATTCATGTGGATAGATTTTCAACTCCTAGCTCTCAGCCTCAAAGTCAGTTGGAAGTTGTATAATTCTTAAAATGTAAATCAGCCATTTAGTGCAAATGAGATGAAACCAGCCACTATTTCACTATATGTATTGAAGATCACTGATAAAAATGTATGTTTTGTTAAATATTGAATCACTAAATTAAATAATAAATATAAATTTAAGTCGCTTTTGGATCGCACATAAATTCAAATTACTTTTTTTTTCCATTAATTTTGCAATAATAGTCTTAAAACTTTTCAGCAAATGGAGTCTACAGTGAGAACTTGGCACGATAAAAGGAGTTCTGGGCGTTCTATACCATTAAGCCCTTTGTCAGATGAAGAAACCCAATTACTAGGGAATTTCACAGAAGTAGTTTTGAATCTCATTAGAAAGTAAATATTCTATTGATTTTGTTTATTAAATAATTGTCCCACTGTGTTCAGAACACTCTCTTGTTTTTATTGCCATATTCCATACTACTGAAAAGTGTATAGTGCGCAAAAGGAAGAGAAAAAGATATCTTGAATAACTTTCGCTCAAATGATTGGATTTTCAATCTTAGTGGTTTCTGAGGGTAACCTCAAATATGCTAATAGTTTATTTGGTCGATTTTACCATTATAGAGGAAAAATTAATTGCTTGCAACAATGAACAGTTATGTCTGAAGACAAGGAAGTAAAAAACTTTGATCTTAAATAGTGACACGATTTATAAAAAAAACTGTTGGAGCTGCTCTTGGAATAAGTAAGAGATAAGTGAGTAAGGGTGGAATCTCCAGTCTCTTAAAATGTAGTTCTTATAGGATCTTTTTTCATTTTTTTGCAGTTTTTTTGTGTAAGATGGGTTTTATAATCTATGTAAAATCTAGATTTTACTTCTAAATAAACGCAACTTTTATTATTTTTTTTCCCTTTTCTATTCTACTTTTTGTACATGTCCCTTCCCCCTGAAATAAAATCCTTGCTAAGGCCTTCAGGCTTACGTTTACATGTGTTGTGAACAAAATTTTTGTGTGTTGTGAATTTTTTTTTCTTTATTTATTTTCCTAGGTGTTTAAAAAATAAATCATTAAAAAGAATTTCAGTTGAAAATTATTTTTACAAATATCTTTTATTTTTCCAAATAGAGTAGGGTATCTTTTGTGCTATATAAACTAAAGAAGAAGAAAAAAACGTGAATAAAGCACAAATAAAAATACAGAAATGAGAATACTGTAGTTTCATTGCTCTAAAAAAAACCTTTGTCAGTGTCTAAACACCAAATGTTGGTAGAAAAGTAAAGAGACAAATCTATGCATAGTGGTTTAACCAATAGGGACAGGAGATAAGAGTTTGAACTGTATAATTAAAAAAGGAGTTTAGAAACAGGTGTGAGAGGATTTGGCGGGAACCCCAGAGTGCAACAAATGACAGTTGGCTTCCAAATATTGGGAAATGATGGAAGGCTAGAAAGAATATTAACTAAATTTAATGTTTCTGTCTTATTTTCATTTACTTCTATTGGATTATATTTATAACTTGAACAAATAATAATTCTCTATTATTTATTGTTTAAAAGTTTAGTTTTTGAAATTTATTGAATCAAGGCTAAAATGACGAGTGACTGATTACCACAAATCAGGAGTTCTATCTTTGGACTGGGCAAGGTTAACTCAGACTTTCATCCCTTCAGTGGGTCTATAAAATGATTCCCGAGTATACTTGCGGACTAAGCACTGGGGATTCGCATTCAGCTGACCATTCAACCGGAGCATCTGCTCCTGCTCCCCTGAGCCCATTGTCAAGAAAATTGGGATGTGCTCAATAGGTCTTGTGCTGTCCCTCCACTAAGTTTAGTTGAAATTGATAAATTAAATACATAGAAATAAATTTAGGAACTAGAAAAGTGATAATTAAACATATTTAAGTCATTTACTTTACAAAATGTACTTTTGTCTATTATTTACTTTGAACTGACAACATTCTTAAAGAATTGACATTTAAGTAATTTGTAAAACTGAAATAAAACAACTAACCCCAGACCATTACAGCAAAATTCAAAAATTCATCTAAAAATAATGGAACAAAACAATTAGCTCATAATCTAAGTAGTGGTTAACTTTTTTGTCGTAGCATGGCTCTAAAACCATTTGGGCTGCAAAATGTTGCTATTTTCCTATGCTTTTAAAACATGTCACATTGATACTCTAGTATTAGAGGAGAATCTCTTTATACATATCTATGTTTAGAGAAATGTTCAGCTTCTAGACTAAAATCACTTTAATATGATATTGAATATTGGTATAATCTAAATCAGTTAAAATCTTTACTACGAGTATAATAATAAAAAGATGGAACTTTAACAAGGAAGAAAATTGAAAGTGTATATTTTTCTCAAACTAAGATTGTTTTATGGTCATCTGCAAACTGTCTGCGTAATTTACAATTAAAAAAAATTTTTAGGGTTTGAAAATATAAGTCTATAGTAAATTACGTATACTGCCGTGCAATTGAAAAATCAATGTAATCAACAAAAAATTCAAAATTCAGATTTTTATGTGTCTGACATCTTTGTATGGTAAGCTACACATTGCAAAATAAAAAAAATTTCGAAAATAAATTTTGTTTTTATCAGTTTTTTGACATTCTATTTTAACATTCATAGCATTAGCAATAGAAGGAATATAGTTGTCGAGCTACTTTTTTCAGAATCCATCACGAAGCACTTAAGTTGTTTTTTCAATTGCACGGCAGTATAGTTAAAGCAATTACAAAATATACTTTACCGAAAAGATTAAAGACAATTTTCCTAATACTTTGCCTTTATAAAATGACTTTAAAAAAATATATTTTTTTATTGAAACTCCAAAGTAGCTTGCTTTTGAAGCAGGGATCAAAACTATTTATGTTAATGTTATGTGAACCAGAATTTATGGTTAAAATTTATGTTATTTATGATTATTCTTCAAATGCTACAAAAGGACTTTTTTTTATATATATTTAGCATCAAAGTTGCTGCCATATCTATTTCTGCTGTGGAGGAAGATCTATTACCTATCTCTATTCAAGTTGCTAACTATGTTGAAAAGCTTTATCCTGGTGGTAAACTCTTAGAAGGCGTAAGTTAAATAATGTAATTTTATTTTTTGAATGTAAATAAAGAAATAAATTCTGATGTAATCCAATGGTTTTAGAATAACACGAGGCAAGTTATTACCGATCTAGTAATTGCAGTGAGACATCTAATGCAAGAAGTATCAACATTTGTAAGAGAAAAGAAAGATTCTTTGGTAAGTTTAATACTGTTAAGGAATCCATTTATTATGTGATTTATGCTGACCAACAAGATTTAATTGTTGAAGACCAAACACCATTTGTTGTACTATATAAATGTAGTTTATTAATTGAAAAAAAATTGTGTAAAAGAAAAGATTTAAAATTATTTAACAGAGAATTTTAAAATAGCAAAGTCTCAATTCTTTGTAACCTGTACTCATCACCTTTAGTTCACAAGCATACTTAGTGTACTTAATAAACATTGCTGTGAAGTTTAATTGGCTAAGTATTTATGTTGCCAGGTAGAAACCTGTTGTTTTTTCTGATTTAATTATTGTTTTTTAGGAACCCGGTAGTCATTTGGAAGAAAAACTAACATATGCTGCTAGTCATATGGAAAAAGAACTGAGAAACTGCTCTGAAAACCAAGGCTGGGTGTATTTTCATTCTGAAGAAGAAGTAAATAGATTAGCAGTTTCTTTACCGAGTTTTAATTGGTGTAGTTTTTGTAAAAGTTGATCAGTGCCTTACAATTTAATTTTAATCTACTAATCCTGTTAGAATTATAAAATGATGTTATTTTAGAAATGTTTTAATTTATTTTAAACCATTCACTGATCTACTTTAATCTTAGATTATAGAACATAGATTTTTAACCTAAATTTAATTGCCTTGATTAGTAATATTTTTTTATCTTTGAAATCATTCTAACTGCATGATGCATCCAGATAATGCATGTCAAGATGTATTCTTAAAAATAGTTGATAATAAATTTTTATAAATCAGCATGTTAGTAGTTTTTAAGAAGGGTTTTGCAGATAGTTTAAATATTTTATTTTTGTTACTTAGTTACTTGAAACATTCCTTAAATAGTTGTATGTAATAGATCATGTTGTAAAAATATTAGTAGTTATATTGTTTACCATGATATTTCATTTTTTTAAGTGCACTTCTCTGTATTATAATAATATTTTTATATGAACATGAAGCATGAATTTAGTCTTTGGGTGCCTAGTGTGGTTTTTATTTTTTTTGGCTAGACTTAGCCTTAGCATGGAGCACACATCCATCTGCATCTGCATGCAGTCTATCCATCTGGGCACGAGAACTTTACAATTTAAAAAAAAAAAAAAACTTTTATCAAACTTTGTATCTGGTGATTATTTGAATCCCTCAAATCCTTGCTTGCACACACATTCTCTCTTCTTGTTCTTCTTCTCCTGGGCTCAAAAATGTAGCAGCGTATAATCCATTGCAATCACCCATTCCACTTAGCCCGTGTGCCCGGACCAGAAAAGAAACTACAAAGGTCTGTTCAAGCTCAAGTTCCGCAACAAGCATGGAAAGAATAATAAGGCACTTGAAATATCCTGCCAAGACAGCGGAGGAGACTGCAATTGTAGTAATTCACCACCATGCGAAGGTTCTGGCTGCGGTACTCCTACTGAATCGATGGAAAAGTCGCTCAGTGATCCACTTATATCAGCTGTGTTGAATTGGGGAACAGCAGATGTAGCAGTGTGGTTGGAATCTATTCAAATGGGAGACTATAAAGAGAGCTTCATTAATCATGATGTTCAAGGACCAGAATTATTGCACTTGGAAAGAAGGGATCTTAAGGTACATCTCCATTGTTAGTGCAAGTGTTATATGTAACTTTGTTTTTCAATCAAAAGCTTTTTTTGTGTAATGACAGTCATGTTATTTTAATAAAACAGAAAGTATTTGAATGATAAAAAAAATATTCGTTTTTAAAGTAAAAGACATCAACATCAATATAATTTCAACATACTGTATTTATAAGGGTTAAAAGAAGAGAGGACATGAATATTAGTATCAGATATAAAGTGCCAGAGGAAGCGCTACTAACTAGGGCTTTTAAGGAATATACCAGAATTTTCGTATAACTGATAAACCATTTAAGTTAAGCTAAAAATGAATGCATTCAAAACTGAGCAATACATATTACTAAAATTTTTATTAGTTGAAAGTAATTGTGCCTCTCTCTCTTACTCTTAAAAAAAATTTTGAGTTAGTTAAAAGTTTGCTAACATTATTCTGATATATTATTTTGCATGATTTTTTTTTTTTTTACATTATGTTTAAGGTTTACTTATTTTGTTGTAAACCTTATTACAAGTTAGTAACATCATAGGAAACTTTAAATCATTCAAATAATCTTAAATTAAACTCTGTTTACATTTTTTTACTCTTTCATATTTAGTATCAGATTTTAAATTTTTTTAGTTGATGAAATAATTTTTTTTTAATTAATGTGTATTGATGGAATATTTATGTGTCATGAAAAAAAAAATTTTATTGAACTTTTATCTTAATGTTAACAGAATAATACAAAACTTCTCAATGTAGTTTATTGGACGAGAAAAAAATGCTCTATCATGAAAATTTTAATTTATAATTAGAAATTACAAGAAAAATTATTAAATGATTGGTAGATTGACAAATAGATTTAAGTAACAGATAAAAAGGTCTGCATCTTTGTTTATTTTAGAAAACGTTTAGGATTTGTCTTGCACTCTAAAAATGTTAAGAAACAAAGAATTCATTATTTATTTTCCGTCTTAAATAATAAGTCTTTTCTTTTTTATTTATAATTTTTTTCCATATTGAAGTTTCACAGTTTAGATTATTTTCAGAAAGAAATTATGTTTAACAATATGTGTAATTGTTTGAATTAATTTGAATTGTTACTTGCAGTGTCATCCTAACCATATTTTAAATTTGATCTATGAATTCAATTCAGGACTTATTCTTTAGAAATATTTGTTGGAAATTTTTTATATTTAAAGAAAAAAAGTAATATTCCAATAACTCATAGTATCATCAAAACTGAAAGTGCATCAAGTTATTCATTTATTCATAATTTGCTTATTTTGAGCTGTTCTGAACTATTCTGTTATAAGAACAGACAAAATGTTCTTAATATCTAATTAAAAAAAATAAAAAAATGGGGTTAGTGTAATCTTTTCTTTCAATGTTGGGCAATCAAGAAAAAAGGAGGGGGAAACATAAAATCCAGGAATGTCTGAGAAAAATCTGCCACATTTAGAGGCATAAATTTTGTTGAGTCTTACTTAAAACATGACTGCTGACATCTTATCTCTACATCTAGATGAGGATACTATATTAAATCATTAAGAAATTTGCCTTCTTAAGTTAATAAAAGAAATGGGCAATGATTAGCTTTCTTTTTGGAAAAATCTCACAGCTTGAAATACTATTCATTATGTTGATACATACTACATTGAAATGATTAAGAAGTAGATGGGCTTAGAAATCACAAGTAAATTTTTAATAGGAGGAAAAAGAAAATTTCTTCATAAAGTAATGAAAAGTATTGATTTTCCTAGAAAAAAATGAGAAAGTTAGACAGTTCTAAAAATGCCAAGGATAATTTTTATCATCAAAATTTTAAAAAATTCTATATAGAATTTTTGCATGTATGAAACAAGACATTTCTTCACCATTCCATTAAATTATTATAGTGCATTTGGAACTGGGATCGAAACTTCTAATAAAGTTAATTCTTGTTTAAATTATCCAATTGCACATGGTCAAATATTGTTCATAACATCCATTTAAGGCCCAGAACTCTCTGTAATGTCTCTCCCTCCCAATATGATAGGATAGCAGTTCCCAAAAGGTTTTCAGCTGTATCCTAGTGTTCCCTGGAAGGATCATAGGGGTTTTAAGAGCTAGGAAAAATATTTTAACCAATAATGATTTTCAAATCCTGTAATTAAATTTACATCTAATTAATAATTAATTATTTAATATTTCTGCTATTTTTAAGAAATTATTTAATATTTCTGCTATTTTTAAGAAATTATTTAATTGAAATGCTTGTGAAGAAAGAAATTTCAAAACAGTGTTTTTCCTAATATGAATGAATTATGAAAAATATATTCATTTATGAAAAATTCCTTTAGTATTTTGAATCATATAAAAATAACCGAATTCAACAAAGAAGTATGTTTCATTGACAACCATTCTCAATGTTTATTTTATTTTTATTTTAATGTCAACCATATTTCAGCTCAATCCATTTTCAGTTAATGCATGCATTTAAATCAAACTAAGAACTCAACTACTAAATGCCACTCCAGACCTGTGAATTCAGCTGTCTGACATAAAAACCAAATTTAAGACTAATGTTTATAAAATTATATGATGAAAAAATTTTCATTTTTCATTCGTTCGCTAAATGTTTTCAAAATAATTAATAGTTTTCCATTAATTAATCTATTTACAATTGCTCATGAAATATATTCATTAAGTCTCTGTGACTCCGCCAAAAGAAGATTCGTCGTTTAGAGTTCCATAACTGAACAAAATTAGGGACCACTACAATAGAGCTTAAACATAAACCATTTCATTTTATCACTCTTATAGTAAATGCTCCCTAATTGCCAATGTATAACAATCACCCTCAATTTAACTTTCCCTCATTGATATCATCTTTGATACCATCCAGGATGATAAAACCAACACTTTAGGTTATTGCTAAGTGTTTAGGAAATTTAAAAAAAAAGAAGCATAATGAAAGAACATAGTTTGTAATTCTGTTTTTGAAGTTTTTTATTTGTAACAGTGATCAAAAGTGAGATATATTTTTCTACTTTTTTGCAGAGATTGTAATAAAATTTTAAAAAAAGAAAAATATTTAAGCAAAGTTTACTTCTGAAATTTGTTAGTTTTTCCATTCCAGTACTGTTAACTAAGCATAGTTTTAACATTTTAAGGAGTTTTGATATTTAACTCAATATTTACCTAATGGTTCGTTCAAGAACCAAAAAAGGCTCTATCACACCAAATACTAGATTATGGATGTTACTTAATGTTCAGGGGACAGAACATAGGTAATAAGATAATTTCTTATAACCAAAAATATTTTTTTTATCAAAATTTAACTAATAGAACAATTTTAAAATGTCAGTACTAATATTTTTGTTAGAATTTTGAAACTCCTTGAATTATCAAATAATGAATTTATAAACATTTGATTTACATAATATGTATATATGAATATTTCTTCAAAAAAAATATATTAAACATTTTAAAGTACATTGTTGTTCTGCTTTCATCACTCAACATCTTCTCTTTATAGGAATTGGGAGTAACTAAAGTTGGACACATCAAGCGATTGCTTCAGGCGATTAAAGAAATTACAACCAACTCAATAGGGCGAAAACTGGTAGCATTATGAACTGCACAAATTACTATTTTTACTTACTGATATTGAAAGTTTTAAAGTTCTTCATTACATTCCATAATTAAAAAGAAACATTGGCAAAAGATTTTTTTTAAACTTCATATAATGCTCTCTATTTATTGCTGTTTGTGTCTGAACATGACAAAATTTAAATTATGAACAACCTTTCAATGCTTATAATTTATTTTAAAAAAATTTTGATAATGAATTGCTAATGGAAAAACTCTTTATCTACTGTAAACATTAAATAAATTTTTATAAACATTTCATATAAAATAATTTTATCGTCTGCTCTTCATTCTTTAATCTCTTATGCAGGAGCTAAATGTTTTTATTTTTCCTATAAATGTTAGATACCTTTTCTATAATATTTTGTGCAGACTTGAAAATAATCTTTCTTGAAATTTCTTCTACGCTCTATCTTTTAATTTGATGTGAAACTGCTAAATATCCATCTAAATATTAAAGCTATAGTATTTTTTGTATCTATGAAAAAAAGTATATTTTAAAGCTTATCATTGTGATAGTCATAGTTATTTATTTAGCGTAGCAATCAATCATAATGATTAATTTCCAGCATGAGTATTGTGATATTTAATACTCTTCATTCAAAACATGTGAAAATCCTTTCTAGCTAGTAAATTTACTGATTCATGAATGTAGTTTTTTTTATGTCAGTTGTTAAATTGTATTTCTGTTCTTTTATTTTACCTAATTCCTGATTTAAAATGTATTGTAGTGTGAAAACATATTTGTCTATTTTAACTTTAATGTTTTCTAAGTGAATTTTCAAGCTTTTAATGTGAATAAATATTTAAATGTCTTTTTTTTAAAACCTTTTTATTTTATCTTCACTTTTTATACATATTTCTCTGATGTGAATTATAATCAGGAAATTATTTATTTTGATTGGATATTTTTAGCATTGAGTGTTAGAGCTGTGTTACTGCATTAAAAAAAATATTTTGTGACTATTTTCATACAACTTAGATGTTTAATGCTATATTGCTTAAGAGATCTTTATTGATGTTTTCTTTTTCTGTGAGATACTGTGGAAACTATTCAATCAAATGGCTGAACAAAACTTATTCAATCAACTTATGAGATGGCCTTCAAGAAAACTGTTTTATACTAAATGCATGTGTGTATAGCTGAATCAGTATTCATTGAATATTACATGTGTTACAATAATTACTTGTGTTTCCATTGCACTCTTTTCCCCCCTGCTCAAGGCAGTGAAACTACGGGATAATTTTTTACAAAGATACTCGGTGATTTTTAATGTAAATACTTCTATAACTACAAATTATTTCAAGCTGTTTTCACAACCCTGCAATAAAATTTCATAAATTTTTTTTAATAAAGCAAATTATTTGTTTAAAAATTATTTGATATTATATTTGTAAATTAAGAGAGGTTACACGATTGTCTTAAAAAATGTTACACGATTGTCTTAAAACATTATTGTTATTTTATCAAATAATATAAATGCAATGATGTTGCAAAGGCCGCGTGTGCAGCCAGACAAAAAACAGTATGTTTAGTATTTTAATAATAAATAACGGCTTCTGAAATATCTGAATATGATAGTAGAAAAAAGCAATATATTTATAGGTTTTAAGATTATGCTATTAATTTAAGATAACCCTTGTATCGCTAAATTGAAACTATGTCCCGAGTTCAATTTAATTTCTTTTCCTGCACAGAAAACTAGTTTTCCTTGTTATTAGACTGGAAAAAATTGTTCTTGGTAGAGAAATTTTTTTCAGAATTTTCCAAATAGCTAAAGTAGGAAAAAATTATTATAATTTTTAATGAGCATAAAAAACGTTTAAAATCTCCAATATATTTTATTAAAATATTTATAAGTGCAAGCAAATTTTAATGCTATTCTGGTACATCTTCAGTGTGTTGTACAAAACATTACAGTGAACAGTGAAAAATAAAGTTTATTCAAACTGTTCTTGCACTGAAGATTATGCCCCAGACTTACATTAAAACTTTAATGTCGTTTTAATATATTTGTCATTTTTAACATTGGTTTTTACTTGTTTGACAGTATGTGCATGTGAGAGCATGTTTGTAAATATATAATCTAAAAGTCTACCTGCTTTTGCCTTGATGTAAGAATGGATTAAGTAAAATTTCATTAACTTTAATTGACATTTTCTCAAAACACTGTCTTGCAGTCTTTGCACATTTCTAATTTTGAGCTGGACATCTTAAAAATCTAACATCCTATATGTTACTAATGTACCAATTATTTATTTATTTACTTTGGTTAATTGATTGATAAAATCAAACTTTTAGAATATTCTAAGTTCATCATTAAATCAAACTCTAAACATAATTAAAAAATTCCCACATTCGACGAAATCTCTTTCAACTTCTTTAATTTTCAACTGTAATGAATAAAAATGTATCGTATTTGTGTCTTAAAAGCACTGTTTTAAAAAGATACGATTTTAAGTTTACGAAAGCTTATTTCATCCATACTTGCTATTCTTTGTCTTAACTTATACTTAAAACTTGATTTTACATGTGCATACTGCCAAATTATAAAATAAGAAATATTATAGTAGTGTACCTACTTAGTTGTTGAATTGTGATTGTCTAGCACAAACAACATAATATTACTACTTATATAATATTCTTTCAATTAAACTAAAATTTTGGAAATAAACAATAACATAATTAACAATAAACGAAACATAATTACAAAAGAGCAAAATTTGAATTTTTAAACAACTGTGATAAAACTGAAGCTGTAAGAATTTGAAGGGTTGTAGGGCGTACAAATGTTTAATTTAAAAGTGGGTGTAAATGTTTCAACTACTAAATTTCCTTTAAAATGCACGTGCATCGTAACTAAGTTTATTCAAGTGCAAAAATATTTATAATAGGTCTATTATTTCTAATGAAATTTAGTAGCTGCTAGTATATGTTAATCAATTAAATTTAAAAGTAAACAAGTTCAGAATTTCATTTTGTTGCAGTATTAGTCTTTATTTAGTTATTTTAAGGTACAAATTTTACTCTTTTTGTAATGTTAATCACAGTTAGAATCTCTTAAAAATTACTTGAGGTCAGAAGGTAATTTGAAAAGTCAGCTATTTAAAGAGTTATTTCTTGCTTTCAAGATAAGTTTATCAAGTGATTAGTTGATTCTTATTAAACCTAGATTTTTTTTTTTTTCGTATATAAGATTTCAAGTTATATAAATCTTTCATGGCGTTACCTATATTGAGAAGTAGACATACAGATAGCTTAATTTTAGGATTTCTGTAAACAATTTTTATTATGCGTAAAATATTTTCTGAAATTTCTAATTAACAAAATGTTTTTTAGAAGTTGCCTATATTAATAAATAATTTTAAAAATAGGCAAATTAGTCATGTTTACTTTCAGGATTTACGTAGTTAATTTGTATTCGACCTAGTTCCTTCATTTTAATTCTTGAACAATATGCGATAATGTCTAAATCTTTTGCGAAACTTAAGATATAATTCGAAAAATTAACAAAATAAAATTCTGATTACGAGCTGAGAAAATTTGTGTATGCAATTTTTGCCTGGTGTATGTATCTTATCCACGTTAAAAAATAATTTTAAATGTTGGCAAAGTAAAAATTTTATTACTAGAGTTAAGAAAATAAATCTATGCAATTTTTGATCATAAATCCACAACTTATGTATGTTATTTTTATTTGAAGTTTTAAAAATTGCTTTAGCTAGTTTTTTACCTAAGCAATGTCAGCAAAGAGCCTTTTGTAGTTCAAAATTAATAGTTGTTTGTCATTTATCTAAAATATATACAAACTGAAATTCCAAGCTTTATTGAAATTTGAAAGTTAGTAAATAATTCTATCAAAAATTGTTTTGAATTAATTTTGTTATGAACATATAAAAAATAGTTGATCTAAAGAGGTAAAATTGGTTTATATTATAGTTGTTTATACATAGGTTAATTTTTAAAAAAATTCGTAAATGTTTACAAACTTTGAAGTGATTTGAAAAATTTGTCTGTTTTTATATCATAGTATGAATAGGTTTATTTCTGGATTCCTTTCTTATTTACTAACAAAACCAATTATTGCTTGAATGCTGAAAAAAATCATCCATGCAGTATTTACATGGCTATTCTGAATTCCCATTAAGATTTCAAAAAATCATATTGAAAAATCAGACAAATACATTAACAACTAACTATGCTGTAAATACAGAAACAAAATAAACCTTATTTACAGCTCTATCAGATGCTCTATTTTTGATTCAAACCCTGGTCACACAGTATGCATCAATACGATAATCCCATTTCTTCCTGACTTAACAAAGGTCAAGAAATGTGATCTTTTCACTCGGCATGCAGCAAAGGAGGTAAGAAAACATGATCTTTTGCCGTAAGAGAAAGTCCATGTTGAATAGTGTCTGGCAGGAAAATGATTGCTATACTGATATATACTATGAGTCCAGGGGTTCAGAAATAGTACACTCATGAGGGCTGCAACTAGAATTGTTTCTGTATTTAGTTCTAAGATTGTTTTTGCTGTATTTCCCTTTTTATTATTATTATTATTACTTTGGGCTTCTAAAACCCTAGAATTTTCTCGAAAGTCCTATTATACACAATCACTGTTTGTATTTTTTATCTGGTTGTCATAATTAATATTCTATGCAAATAAATAATTAAGTTTAAGTGTATTTTGATGTCCTTAAAAAATGTAGTCCTGGTGCTACTTCACTCTGTCATCCACTGCCTTTGTATTATTATAGTGATCATTAATTGTAGTTAAATTTTAAATAGTTTAGAAATTGTTTTGTATGAAATTTTATGATTTAAATACTCAGTTCAAGGAAAAGCTTTAATGGATTAAACTAGGAAATACGAGTTTTAAAAAAAAATATGTTATATGTAGTTTGATTTTTTTTTTAGTTGTAAAGATATATAGAGTAAAAAGGCTTTAGTAAGTGCTAATTAATGAATAAAATATGAGCTATAGAAATAGTGTAAGGTAGAATTCTACAGTTTAAGGCTCTATTATTAAGATTTGTGTGTGTACTGCTGTTATTAAGCTTATGCTTTTATAAATATTTTTTTAATACAGCAAACTAGTTTTGACTGTTTCCTCTTAGAAAAATCTTTCTGGTTAAATACAATATTTAATATAAGTTACATTTAAACTTCTTTAAATTGGGTTACTATTGATTTCTTTGACATTTCAATCAATTTTTTTTTATGACTTAATGTTTATGTTTGAAAGATATTAACTGTAAAGTTTGAAGAATATTTTGTTTTACTTTTTATTTAAATTTTATTGTCTAAAATACTTGGACTTGTTTAATATAAGAAGCAATGCTTGTTTGCATTATTGCTTGGATAATACAAGCGAAAGTTATTCTTAATACCTGGAAAACAATAACATAGAAGTGAAAACAAATGTTACTTGTAACATTTGTTTAACAAGTTCAATTGTATTTAAAAAAAACGAAAAAAGACATTTCTTTTATTAATATTTCTTCATATGCGAAAGACTTAGTAATAAACATTTTGCCAAAAACTGAAGATTTTTTCTTCTTCTATTTGTTATTCATTTTGAGTATGCCATCGAACTCTACCAATTCAAGTTATCGTTTTTATTTATTGTACTTATTGATATGCAGTTTTAAACTTTGTTATTTAGGCCGATTTTTGAATTGCATTTAAAACATTTATGTAATACCCGTGCCTCTGAAAACAACTCCATTTTATGTGAAACATACTGTAGATTTTTTATACAAATAGATACGTTTAGTCCATCATAATCTTTATAAAAAGCTTTTATATAGATAAATTTATGAACAATTTAGACAAAATAGTTAATTTTCAAGCGTATATATTGAGTAACTTTATATTGGCTGTGTAGATGTGGAAAGGGTTTATTAACATTTTAAATACGGCACTTAACATGCTAAAGCCTGTTTCTCTGACCCATTTGTACCCACCGTAAGCAAAAGGTTAATGTATTACTTATTTATCAGAAGTCTTTTATTTATTTTTTCAAATTTGTTGTATTGGTTGGAAATTGAATAATGTTTACTTGTTTAGTAGGTAAAAGACAGTTATTTTTAAAATAATGTATAAAGTTTTTTTTTCCTCCTTTTTCAAATAGTTATAATTTGAAAGCTGTCACCGTAGCCTGATTTATCATAAAGCCTGAGAGGCACAACAATGTTTAAAAATCATTTTTGTCTATTTTCTTTAAGAATGTCTATTAGAATTACAAGTTAACAAAAATTTAAATAAATATAAGCTCAACTTTACAAATGTATCATAATTTATTTATGTTTTAAATAATTCAAAAGATTTTTTTAATAAAAAAAAAAAAAAAATTTGACTTAAAGTTTCAATCAGTGGGGCCCTCGATATTTTTGTGCCAAAAGGCACCTGATCTCTAAATCAGTCCCTGGTTTTCACTCATAAATTTTAAGAACTTTGCTTAGCGTAATTATCTTACTGCATAAAAGAAATCTAAATTGAAATTATGACCTCTGTTTTTTATTTTTTGTTTTTTTCTTTCTTAAGTTCTACAAATTGTGTATGTGAAAAATTGTGTTTTTGATTTATTTTCATGCAAATAAATAAAATTAGTTTTTAAAACTTTTTCGCATATCTGAAAGTTCACAAACATTGAGGAAAAGAGCAATTTTACTTTATATATTCACTATTTTTTTTTATTTTCTCACTAATGCTCAAAAAATTTCAGTTTCTGTTAAATTCTTTTTGAATTTCCAACCTATACATTTTAAAAAATTTAATGTTATAAAAAAGTAGAATATTATTTGTGATGCAATAATAGCATTTATGTCCCTTTCCATATTTCAATCCACTTTAGCTTTAGTTCTTATGAAAACAATAATATTCACTCCATGTCATGGGGAAGTAAATTGTTAAGATACTTTTCTTTGTTACTCAAAATGCCAATTGGATAACTATTTAAACTTCTATTTCGAATTTAATGTACATTTGATTCTTTTCTAAATTTGCTTTTGCTATAAATTGTAGGATGAAATAAAAGGTAGGAAAATATTATCCCAAATATTGGATAATATTTAATTTAATGCTTTGCATGCTCTTGACGTTTTAAATATTTTTTATCTTTTTCCAGAGCTATTTAATTACTGCAAGACTGTGTTGTAAACTTTACTTCCCCTTTTACGGGTTAGTTTAGTATATATGGTGATTTCTTTATTAACCTTAATGCTCTTTTTTATATATAAATTTGGTTTAAAGGGTAATGCCATTTTAGAAATTTCAGAAGATTTTAATTAAGATCAGAAAAAACCAATAGCATTAATCTAAAATAAATTGTCATTGGCCTTGTTTATAAAATAAATTTTTATTGGCCTTATTTATAAAATTTTTACTGAAACAGTATGAAGATGAATCAATCAATATGTAATTGTAATTTTTGTATTGAAATAAATATAGATATTTTGAAAGTAAATGTGATATCTTTGTATCACATTTACTTTACATTATTATAGAATAAGGTAAAAATAATAAAATTGTTATTAATAATAAACTATCAAACATGTATTTTTTCCTTAACCTTAGCCTACTTTGATAGGTAATTAAATGCAAATCCGTCAATCCAATGTATATACTTTTTTTTTTCAGTTTAAAAATGTTTTACGTAGTTTTCATGTTTGTTTTTTAAAATAATTTCTTAAATAAAATTTTAAAAAATATGCTCTAAATTGGAATTACCCTTTAAACGTTTTTTTTTTTTATTATTATTCAGTGGCATAAATAGCTCTCTTTCAACAGTGCTGAGAGCTTCAGGAGACTTCAGAGCACATTAGCCAGAGAGTTAATATTTATGTAAGAAAGTAATATGTATGAGACTTTTTTGGCTTCACTTTTATGCCACTGCTTTTCCTAGAACTATTCAAGCAATATTTTAATAATTAAAGCATCCTTGTAACGAATCAACCCATACCGCTTAGAAATCAAGTATCGATTTCTTCCCTCGTTTGATTTTACAAATATGAATTCACGTTTAAGTGTTACAATAAAAAACTTATTTGTAATAATAATAAAAAATACTCTAGCAACTTGTGTCATCCTAAATAAATGTGCCACTGCCCATCATTATAGTGAACTATAACGTGGCTGCAATTTGGATGACTATTAGTTTGTCATTTAGTCTTAGACAATCATCTCATCTGTTTGTAATATATATATATATCAAAGGCTTATCACAGTGATTATTTATTTTCTATGTAAGCTTATAGAGATCCATTAGTTATTTATGATTACCAGCGAGTGTATGAGATTTCACATTCCATGAATGTTGAGCTGTACATATTGGAAATATTTTTCATACTCTATTTATTTCTGTTGTGTTTTGAAAACCAAATTGTTATGTAACCTTGTGTTGATTATTTCATTTAAATAAAACACTACTAACAAAAAAAAATTGTTTTCTTTTGATAATTTACATATTACAAGTTTGCTGTTTAATTGTTGGAATTATTATGGTGTATCAAAATTATGTGCTCACTTAGCCTAGCATGTTTGAATCTGAAGAGCTTAGTGAGTGGAGATTCTAAGTAACATTTTTGGAAAAATTAGGGTTTTTTACGAAAAGAATTTATTTTAGCATAATTTATGTATTATATTTAGTATAATTTAATATATTTGGCACTTATTTGAACTGTCCGCATCTTGGTTCTTTGATATTATTGCCGTTTTAATATGCTCACAAAAGTGAGGATTTCTAAAGTTGCCATGTGCTGTTGGAATATTTTTGCACCAAAAAAAAAAAAGTTCTTTTTTTTAAAACAATTCTATTTTTATTATTCACATTATACCTCTATATACATTGATAAATGTAGTTTGCCCTAGGCATTAACTTCATAGATTTAGATTAATGCACCTACTCTTAATTTCGTATCATGCAACTAGATTTTTTAGTAATCAAGCTTTATTTTTTTTTTTAAGTACTATCTTTCTTACCTAAATAATTCTTCAAAATATTCCACAGATTCTCAATTTGCTGGTGAGTTTCCTTGTAAATCAAGCGAGATAGTTTTGATTTTCTAGTATTAACTATTTTTCATCAGGCCAAGTCTTGTTAAATTAACCCTTCAAACATGTGCATGCATAAAATAATCTCATAATATTTCTATGTATTTCGTTAAATTCATTTGCCATGGGGAAAGAAAACCATAACATATGTTTACGCGTTTTTTAGTTATTTTAGACAATCTCTGTCTACTCAAATAAAATAAAAACTAGTTTTAATTTATTTGCTCATAATTATGTTATAATAGCAAGTAAAACATGAGTTCAATTTTATATCTCTAGTTACAATTTCGTTTTATAAAATTTAATTTTATAAACTAAATCGTATTATTTCCTTTATAAAATTAAAATCAAAGTTCCCACGTGCCTTAAAAAAGTTTTAAGAATATGTAGTAGTAAATTGCGTTAAAGCTTAATAAGTTAATATGTATTACTTTTTTAATGATAACACTTTAATATTTATAGGTCTGATACGACAGAATTCTTAAGCAGGTGTATTTTGTTTTGAAAATTAACTTATAGTGGTTATCGGTTTTGCTTCAATGATGAAGGCTCCATTTTTACTACTTTTTAAAAATTTTAAGGCCGGTAGGAACCTTGTAAAATGCAAAGCTATAATTGTTGGAGTAACTGAATGACTATATGTAACGAGAACGTGTTAAGGTGATTGGCCAATTTAATATCTATTTCCTTCATGGTATGACACTACTATTTATGTTAAACAAACTTACACAGTAATAATACCGCAAAGTTCTTTATGTATGGTAATAAATCTAAACATTATTTCGTTTCTTGTCGTTAATATGCATTTTCTTGGTTAATTTAAATAATATGTTTAGAACTTGTAATTTTTTATTAACGTCTGTACATGTTACATTAACAAATCAATTAACTCCATTTTGTGATGAACAGAAACAGTATTTTCTTAAGTTAGCATCATCGATGCAAGATGACTGCTGTCCATATTTGTTGATCCTGCTTATATCGCCTAAAATTGATATCTGATTCTCTTCTCGAAGTGAAATAGTACTTTCAAACAAAGCATCGCCAGGAATAGTCCTGACAATAATTCGGAGTTTCTGGATGATTCCCTTTGCTTTTCCGTCTTTTATATTCTTCCCAAAATAACTTCGAGAATTGTAAACCACCTCTTCTCTAGGGATTAGAAGATCTGTTCTAACAATTTCAGCCAGCTGAAGTTTAGAACAATAATTACTCATTACTTCAAGCATGTTGTTGATAGTGCTTACTACTACATCAGCTGCCTTTTGAGATCTTGGATCTGCAATGCATGGTAATGAACAAACTTTTTAAAAAAGGAAGTCAGTGTTAAAATTGTTAGCAAGGATGCAAACTGCAGATTTTCTGTGATTTTTACAAATTTTAATTTTTGTTATAGAATTACAGAGAGATTTTAAATCAATGGTGAAGTCTAATTTCTTGATTTCTTTTAAACTGCTTTTTCCCCCCCTTTTCCAATGCCTGCTTATTTTTTAATAATTTGTTTGAATAGAGTTAAGTATTTTTTTTTTAAAGAAAAGACTATATTTGTAAAATAACTTATTATATTCCCTGCTATCTTACAGATTCTTTTATGAACTCTAAATGTTTACTTTTATAATATAATTATATAAATTGAAACTTTTACTGTATTAAAGTGAAAAAATTTTACTTTTTGAGTTAGTTATCCTGTTTTGCATTTTAAAACGAACGCAAAAATTCTACTGAATAATAGTCCCACAATTACGGGTTTGTTTGAGATAATGAAAAATAACTTTTTATTTTAACTCATAAAGCTCATTATTTAAATTGACTTTAAAGTAGAAAAAAAACGTTAAAAATAGTATTTGGAAAAAAATTTATTAATTCACCCAGTTTCAATTTCTGCCACAGCCAAAAGCACCCGCAGAAACTTTTCCAGGGGGTGCAACCAGGAAAAACATTAAAATATTTCAAAAATCTTGTATATAATATTTTTCCATGTTTCTCAAAAATATTTTTTGAAACATTTCCTTAGGCAATTTAAATCATTTTAAAGTAAGTATTAATCCAAACATTTTTAATAAAAAAAATGAACACTTTTAATAATTGTGTTCAATAATTTATTATTGAATATTTTGTCTTCTAATTAACAAAAAATATTAAACCGAAAGATGCAACTTTTTTTTCCAGTATATAAACCGGTGGAGATTAAATACGATGTGCAACAAACCCTCCATGCTGGGCGAACTTTATTTTTAAGAAAAAAATTAGGATTTATGTTCCAGTTAAAAGAATAAATACTTTTTTGGAGATGTACATTGAAAAAAATAACTTTTTTTTTTTTTTTTGCCTTCATAATGGTTTAAGAAGCTCATCTGAAATAGTTACTAGAAATTTACTAACCAAAAACTTATGAAATGGGGTACGACTTCTTTTCTATATAAACTTATTTATTATCTGGATGTAACACTTAAATGGAGAGGTTTCTCAATTATTATGTAATTCAGTGAATGATTAAGGAGTGCAAATTTTTATCATAAGTTTCAATTAAATATTAGTTATATCAGACTTACCGGATGATGTCAGTTGTTCCTCCTTTTCACATACGCAATAATGATCAGGTATTCCTGCCTGAGTACATGTTCGATTTAACGCGATCTCTCCAAACAATGAAGTTCCCCTGGGTGACATATTTGTCCCAAGACTCGAATTGTTTACGCTGAATTTCAAAATATCCAAAAGAGTGAAATAAATATCATAAGGTGTCGTTAATCGTCCTTCATTTGTTCTTAAATTAGTTCTGATTTCGTCATGGGCTTCTAAAATTTCCTGAGGGGCGACTAGTCCCAGAAAGGGCATTCTCTCTTCAATTCGCCCAATAAGCGTAGCTCTCATTGGATCAAAGCGATGGCCGTGGTCAGACATAAATAATAGAAATGTTCTATTGAGCTGGCCAGACTGGTACAAATCAGTCAACCAATGTAAAAAGTCTTCATCAGTAGATGTCACCTGACTTATGTAATCATGACTGATTTCTACTAGGAATGAAAATCCAAAGAATGGCTTTTGCAAATTGCTGTATTTGGTAACGAATTCTTTTGTGTATTTAAGCTGAAGCAGATGCTTTGGCGTATCACCGAAACATAAATTGGAGCTTAAGCGATGAAGCAATGATGTTTGCACAACAAGCCAAAAAGGACGCAAGTAGTGGTCCGTAGGAGGATCACGCAAACCACCACGAAGGTACGTGAAAAGACCTATAGCTGGCTGGTCCTCTGCAAAAAGTGTGGCATAGCCAGCTTCAGAAAAATTCTTCCATATAAAAGGCCACGAATCATACGTTCCACTTGGCTTTTTGACTTTAGGAAGTTCTTTGCCATAAACAGCTTTACCCATAAGAATGGCTCCTAGATTGGGCCAAGTATTGTCGCCTACTTTAGTCATTCCTCTAAATATAAACGCGTTTAAATTGTGCTTAAGAAACTTGTACGTCTTCGGTAAATTTCTTATGAAACTTAATCTAGAAACGGAGTCTATGCCGATCACTAAAACATTATATAAAGTATTGTTCCCATCAAAAGGTAACGATAACTTGGTTGGTATTATATGACAGTGAACATTAGAGTAAAATGGGATACCGACAAAATTATGACAGGACACATAGATGAACTCAGTTCGTACTTGTGATCCGTTAACATTTATTTTCTTAGACTCTCCGAATTCTACATTGAAATCGTCTTTACGGACTATCTCTTGATAGCTACATTGTAGTTTATTAACATCGTAACCGAGAAGTTTTAATGCCGTCAGGTTATATCTTAGAAATCCATCGTCATCTATAAAAGTGATGGTTACGAAACGCTCTTTGCAATTGATGGGTTTGTTGATCGTTAAATATGTCAATATTGATGGGTCGAAAGGATGCACTCTCGGAAGTTGGCATGTTTGATTTTTTGTGATCGGCTCCTCTTTGTTCAGATCATAATAAAGGAAATCATTCTCGATAAAAAAAGACTTTGAAAGCCTTAATGAATTATGCAATAAAATCAGTGTTGTGATTGAAGTTGCAAAAGTTACCCATACCATCCATTTTTTCCATGATCTTGCAAACATAGCATTTGGAATTTTTCTAAAAAAGAAAAATTATAAATAAATTCCTTTATTTAGTTAAGAGGACGCTATAAATCAGGAGAAACCTTTCATAAGAAAAAATATTTTCACTTAAGTAATTTAAAGTATGCAAAAAGTGAATTTAGGTAAACCTAGAGTAAATTATGATGTCCCAAATATTGAAGAAAAAAAATATTTTCGAACTATCAAAATGCCCAAAAAAAAACTATAGCTGGATTATTTAGAATCACATAAATTTCTATGACAAGGCCATCTGAGAATCTACCAAGGGGAAGAATCAAACTCCGAGAATAGAGAGTTCGTATAGTGCGGCTCTCAGGAGAACTCCTCCAGACACCCGTCTCGCGTCGTGGCGGGTACTATGGTTACGGGGAAAGGTCACTTCGAAGAGGGATGTGGGGTGAATAGTTTTGTCTTAATCAGGGATTCTAACCCCTGTGTCACCTCAATAGGAGGCGAGCATTCTGTCACCTGAGTCACCACGGCTCGAAAATGATGTGTAAAAACTGGAGAATCGTTGCTGATAACAGGCCAGGATGGAAGAAAAAGCCATGGCCCACCCAGGGTTGTCGTGATAATGATGATTTAGAATTACTTGCATTTTGAGCTTCATAACTTTCTCTAGGCTTACTTGAACTCACTCTTTCTGTACTTTAAATTTTAAATTACCAATGGAGGCGAAGCAGAATTTTCCACGAAAAGAATCTCATGCTGCATAACGTTGTTCTAAGTTAAATTGTTTTCAATACAAAAATTTGTTGGGTCTACTATAATTATTTCTATTGACGTTTTCTGTGCCATTTCACTCTATTCACTGACCAAATGTATTATTCAAAGCGTAGTTTTGGATATTTAAGCGAGGAATATTTAATTCAATGTTCAGTAATGGTAATTACAGCCCTTGTATGTAAATAAAATTTAAATCATTCATAAGGAATTAATAGCATTATAATAGTAAATAAGTAATTTTTGATACTTTTCAGCCTTATAAATATTTTATGTTTAAAATTATAGAGCAGAGATGCATTTTAAAAAAACTGATTTTAAATCAGCTTTTAATTCAAAAATGTAATTTCTCAGGCATTTATGGTTTCGAAATAAATGTTGTTGTCAATTTATTAGAATAAAATGTTAATATTTTAGTTACAGAAAATGTTTCAACAGCTATTTTAAACGTTAAAGTTTTACTTATGGCTTTGTTCGGACTTAACATCATTAATTTCACTGTGTTTGCTTAAATACTGTCATTCCGTAACCAAGGTTACTTTTGCAATTGTAATAATTTAAACTTGTTATATAAGTGTGTTTTAAGTTAGTATAATTTTATTTTGGAAAATGTAGTGCTTAGCAGGTTGAATATTAATTAAAAATATGTATAAATGCACGGTGTTCCGTAATGAACACCCTTAATATATGTTTTTTTAGTCCTAATTAAAAAGGTAAAAAAATGTGCTCATAAGGAATTACAAACTAGTATTATATTATTGTAAAATTATTATTAAAATTAATTACAAATCTTAATTAATTAATCTTAATTCTGTTAGATTAATTAATTAAGATTTGTAATTAATTTTAATAATAATTTTACAATAATATAATACTAGTTTGTAATTCCTTATGAGCACATTTTTTTACCTTTTTAACCAGGACTAAAAAAACATATATTAAGGGTGTTCATTACGGAACACCGTGCATTTATACATATTTTTAATAATTAATCTTAATTCTGTTAGATTAAATTAATTAATTAATTAATTAATCTTAATTCTGTTAGATTAATTAATTAATCTAAGAAAAATTTTCATTTAAAGATGAAACTTTAGATGATTCCCATTGGCAGACCAATGTATTACTGTCCCACAAGAAAAAAAAATATTTTTTGATATTTTGATATATATATACGTATATATATATGTGTGTGTGTGAGTGAGTGAGTGAGAGAGAGAGATAATTATATGACAGATTTCATACAAATCTATATTCTGTCGTTGGTTTTGGAAAAAAAGAAGGCAGGTAGCATTTTTTTTTTTTAATTTAGTTAATATCATATTATCAAGTTTGATCAATTATTATCAATACATCTAGATAATCAATGCATTAAACGCTATTTTTTTAAAATTAATGATTGGATTTTTTAGGTATTAACAAGTTTTGAATTTCGCTCATCACTCTTGGAACTCTTTGGCGTATATAGAACACCGACGTCCCTTTTATGCACTTTATACATTAACAGTCAAAATTTATTTTTGTATATATTTTTTAATTATAAAAAAACATTCTAATTGTTACTGAAAAGTCTGTTTGATTATCGGAATTATATTTGTATTGAAATATGAAATCAAAAAAGTAGTTGGAATTTTTTTTTTCATTTGAATCAAAGATTTATCAATAATTGATTTTGCAAATTAAAGAAATTTCAATGGTGAATTACTGTTTCATTAGATCTAAATAACTGTAATTAAGAGAAAATTTGAAAAATTATTGTTTGGAAGTGAACCATGTTCGGAAAGCTTTGCTTTTGATGAAAAAAGGGACACCGGTGTCCGATGCTGTGCGATGATTTCATAACCAATTATTAAAATGCTGAATATAATATTTTCCATTTATTTTGACCTTAATTAATACAAAATAATGAAAAAAAGCATTAAAAATTTGTTTAAAACTCCTTTTAAGCTTTGTAATTTTAACGACAAAATGTATACGAAATCAGGAAAATTGTTTGTGAGTTATAAAATTTCAGGAAAATTCTTACTTATAATTACTTTAACTAAATTTAGCCTTTAGATAAGAGTTTTTTGAAAAAAAAAGAGTAAATCTAGCTTTAGAACATCGCTCATGTTTCAAATAAGAATTGATCGTTTGCATAACTGAATTTATTCAACAAGGCTTTGTTGATTCGTATTTTATCGTCTGATTAAAGAGAGAAGTATTGTTTCAAGGAACATTTGGGAATAATAATGCGTTCCCGAGCAACTATTTATAATCCCCTTTCCGACAAAGAATAATTAAGTCTCTTTGTATGGTTAACAAGTTTTATTTCAGTGCTTAGTTAATTACATCTTGGATTTCGAAAATTAAGTTGCCAAAGAGGTATTGTGGTAATTTAAATTAAAAATATTCTATGTAATTTTTTTCTATACACAATGTCTTTTGTGTTACATATAAAAATATGCCTTTGTTGAATTTTTTTCGGAAATAAACGCATTGCCATTCTACTGTTTATTATGAGTAAAAATAAATGCGTTTATTCAGTGTAATTAAACTTATTGGAAAAATATTTTTCTCCACCATCTATGTGAAACAATTTTTTTTTACCTATGCCTTTATTTATAAGTTTTTGTAGCTCAAAAAAAAAGTAAAATCGTTTTTTCGAAATATTTTAAATTAAAATAATTTTTTTTTTACATTTAGAAATAAAAATTTTTTTAAACTATTCCATTCTAAAAATTGCTTAGACTTGCAACTCTTTTTTTCTTTCCAAATGAATGTGAATTTAATTCTTTGAAAGATTTGAAATTAATTATTTTGATATATGTTTGATATTTTAAAGAAACTTTAAAAGCATAAAAATTACAAACGCTCGGACAATTGTGGAAGAAGAAATAAATCATTATGTAAGTTAATATGAATTTTTAGAAATAGGTATTACTGTATTTGAACAAATATACAAGAAATATTTTTGCATAGCGTTTGAAACATCAATTTCTGCAGACATAAACAGTAAAATAATTTATTTCTAATTTTAAAGCAAACATAAAAATTTGAAATAAATTTAGATGATATTCCTTCGAAAATGTCCTTCGAAGGTGTTCTAAAATTCTGATGCCCTTTCCTATTCAACAAAAACACAATTTTTGTCATCTAATGTTGTATTATTCACTGAATAATATATTTAATATAATAGTACATGTATTTCATGTTATATTAGCATATGAATGAGTCCCAAATGATAATTTATTCAAGAAAAGAAAACTAACTAGGCCTGCCCTTAACAATGTAGGTCTAGAAAACATAGCATTCAAGTAATGTTCTAAAGAGTTCAATCAGAAATAGGTTGTAGTACCTCTTCGAATATATTATTCGAATATACTGATCAATTCTGCGTGCAACTAATTGTCATTCTCACTGAGCAAACTAATAAGTAGTCTGTATTACTGATGTATTACTCTGTATTGTTGTATATAACAAAGTTTGTAATATACTTCGCAAAATACAAGGTGGAGTGGGCTAGTGTGGACATTTTTTTCAAATTTGTTATTAAAAAAAAACATATTTAATGTAATTTTTTACTTGTGAAATATTTTTTAACAATAACTTTGACGCTTACCTGCATTCTGGTTTATAACTGGAATTTTGCATCGTACAAACCTTCTTTTACAAATTTCAACTGAAGTAGTCACAGAGCGATTATGCAACTGTTCGTAAAAGTGTACAATGCGCAAAATAAAAAACGGATCGCCCTGAATAACTTTTGATCTAATGATCGGATCTTCACGTTCCAGGACTCAATCTTAATGGTTTGACAGGGTGACCCCTCTGCGGAGGATCGAAATTGTGATGGCATGTCTTCGGATCATCCTCAGGGATGTTTCCCAGACCGTCGCCAATAGCCCATTGTGCAGCTCTAGCGCGACGTAAATGAACAAATCAATCAATCAATCAAATATGCTAATTAATTAGCACAGACGACGCTTTAAATTACGAAATCAGACTTACAAACGCACTTTCTCTGAATAAGCATACCTTTTCTTTGATGGATTCGAAAACTGGAACCTAGAATATAGGGGACCCGATAGTTTGGTAGGTCAGTGGTCCAAAATTTGGACCCATTAATGTTAATTTTACAATTTAGGTATTTCGCTATATCTCGAGAACTTTAAAAGTAAATTGAAAACTTTTTTGCTCACAACTATAAAATTCGTTTATCCAAAGATAATCCCATGCAAAATAGCTATTAACTATTAGTAAATATTTATTATTATATTTAATAATAGCCAC